TATAACATGTGGCGCAAAATAAAAACAAAATATAACTGATTGCGATCTCTAAAGGACAGATGTATGTAAATTTCAAAGGGAAACCAGAACGCAGTAAAATTGTAGTCGAAACCACACCGCACAAGCCTAGTCCCTGGTAAATGAAAATCAATCAAATAATATGTTGATAAAAAATCATATCCCATCAGTCCTTCTCGGAGCTTACGATCTTATTGTTCCTTATAACATGAACTCGCTGAGGCTCCAATTCCCGTTTCTGCTTAACTTCAAGAACTAACTTCCTGAAGGCAGCTCTCTGCTCGGCTGATCGGTCGGGGCTGATGTACACTGAGTCATACCCCTCCACTTCTCTTAGTTTTCTCGCTTTGCTCAACACTTGCCGCACATGATCTGAGCCGCTGAGAGTGAACTTGATAGGTTTAACGGCTGGTCCTCCATCTGATACAGTTCTCCCCATCCTACAGCAAGAAACGATTCGAGGTTTCTCATCTATGTTTTCTAGTACCTCAAGCACTCTCTTTTCCAGGATTTCTTCACTCTTTTCTGGTAGACCGTAGATGACCAGATTTTGACTACGATCCTCTTCCTCGGAGGCACGTTTCAGAGCAGCTTTCATTTTCTTAGGCGCTAGCGCCTTGCTGCATGAATTCTTCACAACTGACGACCAGGCTTTGAGTTCGCTTTTCACTGTCGTCTGAACAGAGGTCAAATCTTCACTTTTCTTCTCAAGCAATTGTCCTTGCAGTTTAATCACAGTGTTCTGATCTGCAATCTTTTCGTCCTTCAGTTGGTCGATTTCATCTTGTAGTTTGGTGGCTGAAAACAACAGCGGTGAACAATAACTGTCGAGAATGTCGATAAAAGTTTCCATCCAATCACACAGCGTAGCCTTGGTGATCTGAGGCTTGTTGAGCGTTTCTTTACGTAACACATTGGATTTCTGAACACCTGCCGCTTGACGCATATCGTTGAGTAGCATAATCTGAGCACCCAAAATCTGTTCAGCATACATTGATCTGAATTTGAGTGTAGAGTAATTCAACGCTATTTCATTGTCAAGATTCTCCAAGTATTTGTTAACCATGATGTACAATGTACACGCAGGGCCAGTTTAATATACACGAGTATATTATCTGCTACACAGTGAGAGCTGTTTAAACCGACGCAAAAGCAATTAACTGATAAGGAAAATCAGTAGACATAACTTAAACTCAATCCTCTCCTTCACCTTGAGCCAATGAAGGGATTTGAGCTTCTCCTCGACTGAGTCTCTCTTCTTTAATCCAAAAACCAGACGGCATGCTCGGTTTTGAATGTTCTGCAGCTGCGTAATTGAGGCTTGACTACAACCATAGTAAAGCGCATTGCAGTAGTCAAGCGATGAGATTACAATTGCTTGAGTCAGTGTTCCCATCTGTTTGGTCCAAATAACAGAAAATTTAATATAATAGTATAGTATATTAATAATTTAATGTAATAGTAGTTTGAATAATACAATCCTTAAGGACAAAATGGCAGCCATCAAACAATTGAACCCAAAAGCTGAAGTAGCCAGAGCAGCCCAGGCTCTTGACTTGAACATCAGTGGTAAGTTCTTTACTAACTTCATTCTGCATTCTATTTAGCCTTTAAAGCTTGATAAAATCATGATTCAATATTATTGTTTTCAAATAATTATTACTCAGTTAGTCACCATCTTTCAACCTGTTTTATCTTTTCAGCTGCTATGGGTTTACAAGATGTTCTTCGTACTAACCTTGGACCAAAGGGTACAATGAAGATGCTTGTTGGAGGTGCTGGTGACATTAAAATCACTAAGGATGGAAATGTACTCCTGCATGAGATGCAGATTCAGCATCCTACTGCCTCCCTTATTGCCAGAGTGGCTACCGCCCAGGTAGATTTACTCAACAAAGACATAATTCATTTTAAAAACATTAAATCTGAATTAGAATTTAATTACACTATATGTTTCCAGCATTTTGAAGTGTCTAAATAAGACGTTTTCCAATAAATGAAAGAAAGAAAATATAACTAATTATCAGTATTTTTAACACTTTCATCCTTTCCCTCAGGACGATATCACTGGAGACGGAACCACTTCAAATGTGCTCATCATCGGAGAGCTCCTGAAGCAAGCAAATGTTTACATCACAGATGGACTTCACCCTCGTGTTGCTGCAGAAGGTTTCGATCTTGCAAAGAAGAAGGCTCTTAAAGTGTTGGATGCAATGTCTGTGAAGAAGTGTGAAAGAGATGATCTTATCAATGTTGCCAGAACTTCTCTCCGAACTAAAGTATGTAGTTATACACTTTTCCTTTTTTCAATTAATTTTGGTTGCAAAACTGATGATGTTTTGACATCATCAGTTTTTGCTGTGCAGCTTAAGATTGAACGTTAATGCGGAATTTTACAATAACATCCCAATTTTACAATCACAAGCCAATGTTCACCTTGAAAAGAGGAAATTTTCGTGTTTTAATAAAGTTTAACACCAGGTGAAGAACACAGTGGCAGATCTGCTGACAGAGATCATCGTGGACGCTGTTCTTGCCATCAAGAAGGAGGGTGAACCCTTAGATCTTCACATGGTCGAGGTAAATTAGCATATAAGTTGGGGTCAAGGAAAAATGAATTTGCTGTTACATGATGGTCTTTTCTTTAACCCTAGAAAATCTAGCAATACCAGTGTAATAAAAAACCCTTTTTGGGCGAATGAGAATTATTAAGCTAGCTTATTTGAATTTTAACCTGTTTGAAAAGTCATTATATTAATGATGTTATAATTGTGACTGAAAAAAAACCTGCTCAGATCATGTCCATGGAGCACAAGACCGAGATGGACACCAAACTTATCAAGGGACTGGTAATGGACCACGGAGCACGACACCCAGACATGCCCAAGAAAGTGACCGATGCGTTCATCCTGACCTGTAACGTTAGTTTGGAGTACGAGAAGAGTGAGGTTAACTCCGGATTCTTCTACAAGTCTGCAGATGAGCGGGAGAAGTTGGTGAAAGCTGAGCGGGCTTTCTGTGACGACAAAGTACAACAGGTAGAGTGCATGTCATGTAACTTAAGATGTCTTGTCGACTGTTTATTGCGTTGATAAAAGGCCGACTCTAAGTCTGAAAACTTGGTCAGAAACTTATTGAAATTTTAAGATCTAAGAAAAATGTAGATAACTTCAAATGATTGTTCTAACATTGATGTATTTCAGATTATCGACCTGAAGAGAGAATTAGTAGGAGACTCAGACAAAGGATTTGTCGTAGTAAACCAGAAAGGAGTGGACCCCAACTCCCTCGACGCTCTCGCACGTGAAGGTATCGTCGCTCTCCGACGTGCCAAACGCAGGAACATGGAACGTATCGTCCTTGCATGTGGTGGCACTGCTGTTAACTGTTTTGATGAACTCAAACCAGAACAACTCGGACACGCCGGACTCTTCTACGAGCACGTGCTTGGAGATGACAAATTCTCCTTCATCGAGGAGTGTGACAACCCCCAGTCAGTCACCATTCTCATTAAGGGACCCAACAAACACACCATCACTCAGATAAAGGATGCAGTCAGGGACGGCTTGAGGGCTGTTAAGAACGCTATCGAGGATCAGATGGTCGTGCCTGGTGCTGGAGCCTTCGAAATCGCTATCTATCAGGTTTGGCATTAATTTTATTACAATGGTTCTAACTTTACATCTCTCCATTTTTTACTTCAACCTTTTTTGTACTTTACTGTTGCGAAACATCTGAAGATTATACATTTTTACACTCTGTTTGGTTAGGCTCTGCAAGAATACAAGAACGAAGTACGAGGTAAACAGAGATTGGGAGTACAAGCCTACGCTGATGCCATGCTCATCATCCCCAAGTGCCTGGCACAAAATGGCGGTCATGATGCTCAGGAGTGTCTTGTAAAAATGCTCCAGGAGTACAAGGGAGTCGACAAATGTGTAAGTTGGATTTGGCGATCGTTCAAATATTACCTATGCCTCTGCCCTCCACAAGACACTTAAATCGTAGCTGCTGTGTAAAAATTACATTAGTGATTAGGGTAGTAGGGTACACTTTTTTGCCCTCCCCGACATTAAGTAAGTAAGTAATGGTAAACTGTTCCCACCCCAGGTCGGATTGGATTTGGAGACAGGAGAAGCAATGTACCCTGCCGAGGCTGGTATCTGGGACAACTACTGTGTCAAGAAACAACTTCTCAACTCCGCCACTGTTATCTCCTCTAATCTTCTTATCGTTGATGAGGTGAGCTATGTTGTTGAATTCTGTTCGTTTGATGTCATTTAGTGTTCAACCAGAAGTCTTTAAGTTGGAGATGATGGGAGTTACCAACAAAAATAACTTGGTTCAAGCCTTTTTTGGTATAAAAAACTCCCGTGCACACTGCACACTGCACATGGTAATTATTATATGCATTGTATTAAATGTATAGTGCAGTGTACAAATACTATCTTAACCTCGCCGTTTTTTAACCACATTATTTCCCAGGTTATGCGTGCTGGTATGTCCTCCCTCAAAGGATAATTCACTCTTCAAGTTCAAAATCCTCGACCCTAGATCAACACTGCTGACTTTTATCACTGAGTCGATATTATTTTTGTAACCTAATAACTTGACTCGACCTGCTGGGCGGTCATTTTTCGTCAGTAGGTTTCTGGGACTATTGTCGAGAGATCTGTCCTTTTTTGGTGTTTTTGTATATAATTTAAGTCCATATTTAACACTTATTTGTGAAAGAGAGTGTATTTTACTTTTATATGCACCATTTTCAGATAGTATAGTTTAATTGTCTTCTCCATTGCTCGGAGTATACGAGAATAAAAATACCAAAAATTATTTCTGAATGTTCCAGAATTTCAAAAATTGAAATCAAAATATTATTATGATATTAAAAGATAAGAATAAAATCTTGCATCGCAAGTTTTTCGATTTAAGCCGTTTGTGTAAATAGTAAATACTCTAACCAGTTCACTCTCCTCTAGTAAATGTTTATTAGAAGATGTTGTCAATGTGTTGCTAACTCACAACCACTCCGCTCCCTCTCCTCATCATTCGGTCTCCTAGTTGATATAGATGGAGTCCTCATAAGAGGCGCCAGAACTATCCCTGGGACAGTTAAAGGTTTCCAAAAGTTATCAGACGGCAAAGGGAATCTAACACATCCTGTAGTGTTCCTGACCAATGGCTCGTACAGATCTGAAGCAGCTAAAGCTGAGGAGTTGTCTGAAAAACTGAATGTGAATATCAGAGGAGATCAGATTGTGCTGGTTAACACGCCGCTCCGGATGTTCACTGACTGGCATGATCGGAATGTGTTCTTCGCGGGCCAGGGTTCCTCGTTGTGCAGCACCGCGCGGGATCTGGGGTTTAAAAACCCGGTGGTTTTGAAGGATATTGTGAGGGATATCCCCATGTTTGATGTTATTAGTCACAGAAACAGAATAGCGTTAAAATCTGGCGTGTTACCTGACGAACTACCGGACTATATGCCAATAGAGGGTATAGTTATAGCTAATACTCCAGTTAATTGGGATGCACACGTCCAGTTCCTGCTTGACTTACTACTGACACGTGGACAATTGCGCGCATCAGATAAGAAATCAAGTCAGCTCCCTCTTATTGCATGTAATCCGGACCTTGTGTGGGCTAGTGAATATCACCTGCCTCGGTTAGCATGCGGTGCGTTTGTTCACATGCTAGCCCCACTTTATGAAGAAATGAGTGGGCGTGAGCTTGAAGTGACGTGGATCGGTAAACCAACTGAGGTCACCTACAAGTACGCTCTAAACTCGTTGCGTGAGCAAGCTGCCTCGTTAGGTCAGCAAATGAGTGAAGTGTATGGTATTGGTGACAATGTGGATGTTGATGTAGTGGGAGCCAACAATAACGGCCTTAACTCTGTGTTAGTGTGCACTGGACTTTACAAGAATGAGAAGATTGATCTGACGAGGAATGTAACGGTGCGGAGTAAGCGTGCGAGTGTCGTTGAGCCAATCACTGCTGATTATGCAGCTAGCAATATAGGGAGGTTTATTGATCATCTGTTGGGATGAGTTAAGCTAGAGCTAGTACATAATATGTGCTAGTGTTACCTTCAAAGTGACAGGATTATCAATTAAGAGTTGAGCTAGAGCTATGAGGTAATTATTACAGTAATTACTAACCTTGTATTTCATCAAAATGACGACAGATTTATTTCATACATTATGTCCGATTTTAAACGAATTAGTGTTAAGTTACTGCGACGAGGCCGATAAGGCTTACTAAAATTAAGCGAATTTATAGCTGTAAATTTTCCTGTTAATTTTCATGAATCATGAAAGCGTGTTAGTGCGTTACACTACTATACTGTATTGTCGTGCTTTATTTCGGATACTTTGTGTATTTTTGATAAGACTTTTTATTTATTTCTACTTCATTGTTACTGTTCTGATAATATCATGTAATGTTAAATTTCCGAGATAATTTGACCGAGGTTGGTGTTATAGCCAAAACTATCGTCTCATTGCATTTTGCTAGGATTATACCACATTGAATTGTTATGTGATTGTTTGAATAAGAAAAGATGCAATGTTGAAAGTCAACCATTTCTTCTTGCACTTTCGCTTTTGAATGATTCATGAGACGCCTTAATTGGAACGAATGATTAGGTCAGGTCTCCAGCCAGGTCCCTTGATGTATTTTTAACCACAGCTTCATCAGAGTTGAATTTACGTTTCAATGAGAATTACAGGCACAAATTTCGAGTAATATAAATTGTTAACTATTTTTCTCCATTAGAATGATGTATTAGCTGATAATACATAGTAAAGCATGTCCTAAGGTAATTACTACTTAGCTGGTAAAAATACCTTTATGTTAACAACAGGGCGTACCATTAAACTCTTGTATACATCAGGATGCATCAATGGTTGCCATGACAATACAATAATTGATCTTGTTGGCGCTGTACACGGAACCACAGTAGTGCTATTACAATTGAGGGGTGTATCTCATACCTGTTAGTTAGTTACATGTGTGCTCTGCTGTACGTGTGTCATGTTCGCGCTGTCTTCAGCAAAGCTTCTTATTTTATTGCACGTGTTGACGTGTAGTTTTCTCAACCATGTTTCAAGTTTGTTTATACTGTAGTGTTATTTTTGTTGAAACATTTTACATCATATGCCATGAGTAGAAAAACACAGTATAGAGGTTCACATGATCCTGATCCCCAGTATCTGCAGCCTCTCAAATAACTTGTCAAGCGTCTTATATGTACCCCATAAGGGCCTTATATATGCATGATTGTGTCGTATTGTCATGGAATACAGCTTGACGTGTACTCAAACTATCACCAAATGCGATATGAGCTATGACAAATCTCATTTCTTGCACAAATTGGCCAATTACAGGTTTAAGCTTACTGACTTAAAGTTTTAATGACATGATGGTAAGCATTAAGCAGATCATATGTCCGCATACCAGTCCACTAGCCACAGTCTGATCAGCCGGAGCCTAGTTATGACGTCATGTTGATGTTGGTATGAATAGTATCTTAGATGCAGTTAGTTACGAGTCGCAGTAATTGTAACGTAGTAAATTGCTGAATGAAATTAACGATTACGATTGAAATGTGCTGTATATAAGTCATTCGATTTCTTTGGAGAATTATCAATTGCCATTATCATCAACAACAACAACTATTCCAATTCCTGACATGGTACTCTACTGTCTACTAGACGAACTCAACCAGGCCACGGCCTCCATAGAGAGTGCTAGAGACTTCTTATTCCAGAAAAACCTTCTAAAGAACTCCATGTCCTGTCCTGGGTGTAACGCATCTATGTCCCTGGTTCCCTGCTCGTCCTCGAAGTCTCCAGATAGGATGATATGGCGCTGCTCCCCCTGCAAGAAGTACAAGAATATTAGAACAGACAGCATCCTCTCTGGACGGAAGCTCGCTCTCAAGACCTTCATACAACTGCTGTTTTGTTTCAGTATAAAAGAACTAACTGGAATTGCGGTATCACAGATGACTGGACTTTCTGAAAACACGGTTTCTAAGTGGAAGATATACCTCGCTGATATGTTGCTCGCAAACCCTTGGACTCTTGGCGGCCATGGAATTTGTTGTTGAGGTAGACGAAGCGCTAATTCACGAAAACTATCCTTTGATCGTGTAGTAGGACGTCTACTCCGGCACATCCCTCAACAAAGCTGTGGTAAAGGCTGGACGTCTACTCCGGCACATCCCCCAACAAAGCTGTGGTAAAGGCTGGACGTCTACTCCGGCACATCCCCCAACAAAGCTGTGGTAAAGGCTGGACGTCTACTCCGGCACATCCCCCAACAAAGCTGTGGTAAAGGCTGGACGTCTACTCCGGCACATCCCTCAACAAAGCTGTGGTAAAGGCTGGACGTCTACTCCGGCACATCCCTCAACAAAGCTGTGGTAAAGGCTGGACGTCTACTCCGGCACATCCCCCAACAAAGCTGTGGTAAAGGCTGGACGTCTACTCCGGCACATCCCCCAACAAAGCTGTGGTAAAGGCTGGACGTCTACTCCGGCACATCCCTCAACAAAGCTGTGACACGTAAAGGCTGGACGTCTACTCCGGCACATCCCTCAACAAAGCTGTGGTAAAGGCTGGTATGTGACGGTCCTCTCTCAAGTGGCACTACATGGCGGAGATGAAGATAACAGACGCTGTCTACTACAACTACCGAGATGTGCACCAGCTCGGATACAATGTCCGTGGAGTGCAAACACTACCTCTCCGAAGATAATAGTCGGTTCTACCAGACTGCAGAACAGATGAGAACAGACAAGAAGCTCGGTACCATTGTCTTGAATGTTTTTATTGATATAAAATGTATTATACGTTACTTACTTTTTAGTTAAACTTATCTTTTAATAACTACGGTTCAGTCACTGAAAACAAACTTTGGGAATATCTGATCCGCTTGTGGTATTAAACCTACGCTTAAACATAATTGACCAGGTCTCTAGTCTTAAGACTGACGTGATACCACAGATGACTGAACCATGCATGTTTGCGAGTTGTAAGCTCCCCACTCGTCTGTGTAGATGATAGAATCCACCGCCGAATCAGACGAAGGAGAATTGTAGAGCTCCTCGTTTGTTGTTCGGAGAAGGAAGGAGGAAGGATTGTCAACTGGACAGCGTGTGGACAGTTACTTCTGGTCCATCCTGTATGATCTACTAACCATCATGTCATAAGTAGTCCGTGGTCCAGTCCTCGGGTCTGGCTTCTCGGATACTCTGAAAATACAATGATCATTGATCAATTGGTGTATCGGATCATTGGTCCAGCAGCTCTACCGAAATGTTTTTTCAATACCGAGTCTTACTGTCCAATAAATACCAAATGAGTCCCTTATCGGCACATCATCAGATAATGTACGGCAGCTAAGAACCGCTCCATATTCAGTCATTTATTTAGCATTTTCTACCTGAACTTTCTGTTAAGTTCTAATGACAACAGTAACCGTATGATCGTAACTCTAATGAGGCTCACTATTTTATACCCTTCCTTCTTGGTAGTACTATGACTCACAGTATTTTAGTACTACTCATTGAGGAGGAGAACTCCCTTGCTATTTGTTATTTGTTCAAATGTCTAATTTATCCATTTTGTTATCTGGACTCAAATTTAAGGCAGAAATGTCACTACCTCAGTGCTACCATTATAGTGCTACCATATTGCTGCCACGTACCTTCGTGAGACTGTTGAGCTACCGTTCGCATACTCTTGTGGCTTGTACTGCTATCTTTTATGTTTTGTAGCCGAGTACTTCCTGTCCGTCTCACGCAATGTGATGTGCGAGTTTAAAAGGTTACATTGGTATTGGTACGTTGTTTTTGCAGACGTTCTGTCTTAGTTCAATGTAAATTGTAAATGTTACGTAACACATTACAACACGTGACAGGAATATGCGATTCAACAGGAACTTCGATATCTAAAAATGTAATATTGGGAACGTACTAAGTCGTTATAGCATGAGCAGTCTTATTACATGTCCTAATTTGAGTGAGGAGTTAGATTGAATGATAACAATATGATTGACTTTTATAGCTGTTTAGTAAACCTGATATGATAGATCTCGACGAAGAATTTCATTTAGGGTCTCACAAAATTTAACACATGTACCGTTAAACGAAGATTATGAATTATATGTTTACAACACCGACCGTTTGAAAATTCTATGAGATTCTTAAACTGGTGAGCTCTTTCCTTGAATGCACTACAACACCCTTGTTAGGTTCTTGTTTTTAAGTACCCTTAACATCATCGGAGTTAGCGTGGTTTACAAAAGTAAGTAAGTAAGTCGTAGTAATTACCCCCGAGTCCCAGCTAGCAGTAGTAATTACCCCCGAGTCCCAGCTAGCAGTAGTAATTACCCCCGAGTCCCAGCTAGCAGTAGTAATTACCCCCGAGTCCCAGCTAGCAGTAGTAATTACCCCCGAGTCCCAGCTAGCAGTAGTTATTACCCCCGAGTCCCAGCTAGCAGTAGTAATTACCCCCGAGTCCCAGCTAGCAGTAGTAATTACCCCCGAGTCCCAGCAAGTAGTCCTAGCTAACTTCACCTCTCACATTAATAAGCTTCCTGTGATGACAATACAGCATTGTGAGACCTCTATCAAGGTATTGTAAGGTCTAGTGTAATATATATGCGGTGATTTGACAGGACAGTGTGACTGTGTGACAGTGGTATCAATGGTATGACATCAGCTCTATAAACCAGATTAATTAGATGTCTACTCCCTGACATGACCTGTGGTGGAGTTAGTGAGTTGGGTTTTATAATTTGTTAGCGTCTTCCTCGGTCAGTCAGCTGGGTTATATCTTACGATAATCAGCATAATATGATATAGTATTATTTACTTATATCATAATAATAATACAATATAGTTTATTTTATGATAATGATTTCCCTATTTAAAAGGCTGTTCCCAAGCACCAGTCGTCTCGTTTTGGTAAAATTGTTAGCTGAGCTCCGTTACAGTTAGATTGAGAAAACTGCTTATAGGTTACACAATCCAGCCGTTACACGATCCAGCCGTTACACGATCCAGCCGTTACACAATCCAGCCGTTACACAATCCAGCCGTTGCACAATCCAGCCGTTACACAATCCAGCCGTTACACGATCCAGCCGTTACACAATCCAGCCGTTACACAATCCAGCCGTTACACAATCCAGCCGTTACACAATCCAGCCGTTACACAATCCAGCCGTTACACAATCCAGCCGTTACACAATCCAGCCGTTACACAATCCAGCCGTTACACAATCCAGCCGTTACACAATCCAGCCGTTACACAATCCAGCCGTTGCACAATCCAGCCGTTACACAATCTATCCGTTACACAATCTATCCGTTATAACAGCTAGAATCTAGATGTGCTACAAATATATAACTTTGCACCGGAATCTGAAAATACTTGGAATAGTCTGCTACACGACACACGGAACAGTGTGCAAATACTTTGAATAGAAGCGATAGTCTCGCATGTGATTGTATCAAGGTCGCATATTAGTCCGTATACCTTGTAATTTCATGTTGTATCTGTTGAGTGTTGATCTGTTGTCATTCCGACCTACATGATTTCTACCCTTCAAATTTAATCATCATTATCATTCGGTCGCGACTTTTAGCGTATATTCATCATATAAATTGCTTTATTATCAGATTATTATCGCAACATCGCTAATAATATCTTCATATGCTAATATTGGGGGGGCCGGGGGGGGGGGGCCGGGGGGGGGGGGGGGGGGGGGCCAATATTATACTGCCCGCTCATATCATTCCTCCTTGAAAACAGTTGATTGAAACCCGTCCATCATCTATACTACCCGCTGATCACATGACATTGAAGTAGGGCTATATGCCAGTAGTAGTAGTAGCTGTATGCTCGAGACCGCGTAGGCCAGTCTCTACTCTGCTTCGCACGTTAAATCACAACGTCCAGTGACAATTTTGATGTATTGAGGGCGGCAATCATCAAAGGATGTCCGCTTCTCTAATTGTGATACTTTCAGCAAGTTGAAATGGAGCCCACGTGTGTCACGTGTGCTGAGGAGTAAAGATGGTACAATTATTGTTACTTTATATTGTTACTTTTAAATACGTATTATTTGTAATATTAAGTTTATATAAGTTTATGTCATCATTTTATTTTTCTCTTTTTAACAGTCAATTGGTTACCTTTTCAAGGAGAGAATAGCTAACTGACCAGTTGATAGTTAATTGGCGGTAGTTGTAAGTCACCCGGCCCGTCACCCTTGGTTATTGTATAATGTATAAGATAATTGTGTTGACAGTTTTTGCTAATAGTCCTTTGCAACCATCTCTCACCTGAGATGTTCACTTCATCAACTCTTGACACAAATCTCGGCAAATCTACAGGGTGGGCCAAAAGTCAGTGTGCAAACGTTGGGTCTTATACCTCCGCCGTGTTTTATATTTGAGAGCTGTTGCTTTGCAGATGGCATACTGTACTTACTGGTTCGAGGATTCCGTCGTCAAAATTTGAAAATTCGAATATTTTAGACCACGCCCATTCAATATTAAAACACCTATATTGGTTTCTCTGAACATGCTGAACGCCTAATTTTTTCAGAGACGGTAGATTATCAAATGTTGCATATGATCTGAAAACATGAGGCAAAACGGATTAGAAATGACGAAGTTATCAAGCATTTTGTGTATCTCGTTAACAAAATTGACTGGGTGATTATGTGACACCGTGACACGACACCTTAATTGGGCACCCTTAACAATTCCCATAATGTTTAACGGGGTAGTTAACGGGGTCACCTTATCACGTGATTAGGTAAACCAATCACCTGATCACACGTAATGAATAAACTCGTTATGCTTCATATCTCGGTCATCTGAGAAGCTACAGTTCTAATTCTTTCAGGACAAACGTAATTCGAATGGCCAAACACAATTCAATAACATTTAGCTTGATCCGACTATCCAAACTATCAAATAAATGTGAAAATGAACCTCCATTTGAAAAAAATGAACGCGAATATTTTTCGAGTTGACAAATTCCTCGAACCAGTGGTGGTACTAAGTCATACCAGAAGGAAGTATTTCAATTGGGCACTCAGTGACTGAGCTATTAAGGCCAACGTTTGCACACTGACTTTTGGCCCACCCTGTAGTTATAATGTACACTTTAGACCTCTCACTTTGCTTATGTTAAACCACCAAGTAATACCTAGTTTGCCTGTTAACACTAGAGCCGGTATGTGCCGGAGTTTATACTGAGCTTGTTTGTACTTTGTCCACGCTCTGTAACCTACTGTATTTGCCAGCACCGCGCCGGAGGTTATGCTAGTTTGTCCACCCTCTGTAACCTTAGCTACTGTTTTGTCTATTGTAAGCGCGTGTACTCTGTACTGCTAATTATCTACTGGTCAAGTACAGAGCATTGTTCTCTGAGATAGTACATGGTTTATAATACATGGACTAAATGTCTGCACTCTGCATTCTTGAGCTGTGTAACACATTGCACACCTGTTAGTTCTAGTTAACAAGGCTCGTGTTCTTCTGTTAAGTGGTAAACTCTACTTCTATTCGATGAGGAGAGTGCAATAAACGGCGCCATTTTGTGATCGTTTGCTGTTAAGTTTGTGCTAATTATTGATTCGTACGTAATATGTTTACGTTTCTGCCGGACTTATCGCACTTTTAGAAAAGTGTATTAGAATATTCATTAAATTTTAAACTGCTCATGCTGGCCTTCGTTATTTTAAACTGCTATTATCAGTTAATAGTGCCACGTGGCGTATTTAATCGAAAAGCTAACAGTTACGTTATTTCTTAGTTTGCTATAAATATCAAATAACGGAGTAGTTCGCTGTTTATTAGTCTCATGATTGAAATACTGATATCTGGATATTATCCGGTTGGAAGAGACAAGGACAAGTGAAACAAGGAAGTTAGGAGTAAGGGCAAATTTTCGGCGTCAACGCCATCTTCAGGCTCAAATTATTTGTTATATAGTAGTGTTGAAAGTATTAAAACTATATAACAAATAATTTGAGCCTGAAGATGGCGTTGACGCCGAAAATTTGCCCTTACTCCTAACTTCCTTGTTTCACTTGTCCTTGTCTCTTCCAACCGGATAATATCCAGATATCAGTATTGCTATAAATACTACTTAGTTTACTATCTCACCATCCTTGTTTTATTTAATTTGTAATTTAATTACGATCTTATTCAGCATTGTTTAGAATCCCATTACTATGTACTTTACTTGACTAGAATTTAGAAGATACTTTAGACTACAACATAAATTACTTATTTAGCATTATTATTACTTGCCCACAATATGACCAGTACTCAACACTCGACGACTCGTTGGTCCTCTATGAATTGTTGCTGATTTGATAACCTGGCTGGACGATTATTAACTTACAAACCGAGCACACTATTCACAACTTAAATCGAAAATTTAGTTTGAAAACATTACAGGACAAAATAAAGCAAGGAATTCAAATTGTTCCGTTCTTGACAATTTCTTTGACTGATGTTTGTAAACGGTAACGATCATTCATATTATAGACAGATCGAAGTCGCACTTAAATCATTATTACTTACCTTTAAGTTCTATTAGATCTATTAGCTCGTCACATTATGCTGGATATGCTTACAAATCATAAGTCATAACATATGCACGGACATAACCTACCCTAATAACTAACATAACTCATTATTGATCGGCCACTGTAAATGTGCAAGTTACTGATAGGTAATTACCTAATAAGTCAATTATGTGATTATATGGCACGCCAACTCGCGCAGAAGTGAGGAGGATGTTTCCGTTATACCACAACTCATAAACTGTCTCAACTCTTGCTATGATAATGTCAGCAGTGCTTTCCGTAATGGCCTTACGTTCGGTGTGTGTGGCCCGAGGGTGTATGTGTTGATTTGTTCGGATTAAAATCGCGACATTTTTGTTAGAAACGAGACACAAACAGTAATTGAACTCTAAATACAAGAGCCTCACTGGTCTTATCCGTGATTTGACTCGTCTGGCACTTTCTGAGGTTGTGTTCTTGTTTTCTGTCTGAGCTTTAAATACTTTTACTTGCGTTGAGTCGTTGCTTTGAAGGGCGAAAGATTTCTTTAAGGTGCAGTGGTCCAAAAAAAAACTTGTGCAAATGTTTGGAGCGTGCTTGCTGGGGGAAACTTTTCGAGACAATAACTCAACATTAAACAATCACTGCACTGATCAACTAAAGTCCATCACTGAAGGGTTACTACTCTAGTCGGAAAATCACTCTTCCTTGCCTGCAACTCCTGTAATTCCTGTTATATTCCTACTAAACCTCGTGAGACGTTGGTTATGATGTAATCGTCAATTTGTCCGCCTGTAATTGTACTTTTCCCTCAACCCAGTCTTCCTTCTTTTGGTCATTGCCATAGTTCCTAGCGGCCCTCAATTACCTCCTTCGACTACTCCCTAAGATAACTCTTTCTACCTCACTGCTTCTTGATTGGTCACATGACTCCCTACGAAGATCTAGGTCCATTATCTCTGCGTCAATACATCCAGTCTCCACTCTTGCTAATTTACCATACTTTCGAGAGATTCCCCACTATCCATAGTTTCCTCTTATAAATCTTTCTTCCTCACCGACTCTCACCATCTAGCTCTACTTCCGTCCCAGACCCGGGTTAACAATCTCTTCTCACTGTAATAATAATAAAAATAAATCACACCGTTTACAGTTGCAGTCGTATTACTATTATAACAATTTAATGAATAATTATTATAGATCAATAACCGATTAAAACTTGTAACATCAATAAAACCCTCTACATTAACAGTATGGCGGGGTACGCGCTCATGAAAGTTAAAAACCCTCCCCTGACCTCGACCCAAAAGACATGGGGTGTTACCATAATGATCGTTTTAGCTGCCTTCTACCTCTTCTGTGAACCCTTCCAACCTGTCTACCCAACTCACAAACTCAGGTACCATTTTCAATATTTTTTGACATCATTAACCACATTCGCTTGCCTCAAAGAAAATATCGAATTAAGAAGCAGAATTACCAGTAATCATTACATTAAACCAGTTACCAATTACCAGTTACCAGTTACCAGTCACCAGTTACCAGTTACCACTTCAACTAAATCACTGCGCAGGGATGAGTACGACTACATCGTGATAGGAGGAGGTACAGCAGGAAGTGTGATCGCACACCGCCTCGCAGAGGCAGGTAACACCAGCATCCTGGTTATCGAGGCAGGGAGACACGACTTTGACCACAGTATCAGGATTCCTGTAGCCTCCATCAGCTTGCTGGACCCTGACAAGAACCTAGTGTGGAACTACAAGACTGTGCCTCAGGAGGGTAGTGCTCAGGGGTTCCTCAATAACAGGATGACACTGCCACTCGGCAAGGTCCTTGGTGGAAGTAGCTCTATTGGTGAGTGGTCCATCAAGACTGTCCTAGTACACTTCTATTACAGTAAAGTCCGATATTCAATCGATTTAGACTACATATCAATAAAATTAACTATAATCCAAACAGCCTCTGAAAATCCCTAACCCTCCCAATGTTCCCAGGAGACATGATATACGGTCGAGGTAACTCAGCTGACTTCGCTAGCTGGGGCGCGGGATGGTCATGGTCAGATCTCTTACCATACTTCCTGAAAGGAGAGCGGGCTATGGATATTGATAGCAGTCAATACCACAATACTGAAGGCGAATTACCGGTCAGTTTGGAAACTGTTTTAATGCTGTTTGGGGGTTGCGAGCCCTCCAGCTGTGCAGCCTCAACTATTGTCCTGTTGAGTTGAGATGTTATGAAACTATGATCAGTTAGATCACGTGATATGTTTGTTAGAATTGTTAGTAAGTTTTTGTTAGCAAGTTCTCACGTGCAGGTATCACGCGGAACTGAAGAATGTGACCTGAGTAACGCGTTTGCGGGAGCAGCACAAGAGCTCGGACTCAAGTCTGTCGACTACACCTCAAAAGATCAGATTGGAGTCTCCCAGACTCTTTTTACCATGAAAGACGGCGAGAGGTATGTTTGATACTTTTTAAATTTGTTTAAATTTGTTTTTATTATTCTGGTAAGCCATCTATTGCAAGCAATGTGCCATTGTATTTTGAATTTCACTAAATAAATGACCAGGGCCGGGACAACGTACATTGTATTTAGAATATTCTCACGAAAATATGGCATATTTTGAAGCGAAGTTTTGACGCATTTAACGTGGTCATTATACCATATAGAACTTTACAGTTGAAAATATAGTAGGTTTCAGGTATATTGCAACTTTAGTAGTATTTAGTAAGGAACTAGGTTACTCGGACATCACGAAATGTCAGGATACTGATTAAATATTAGTACATATTATTAAATTTACTTACAATATAAAGTTTTTCATACAATATTGACAATATTGACATAATATCAAATTCTTAAGAATCGATATTTCCCCCAATCACACAACGAATGAGTGTTAAACTTCCAATAAAATCATTATAGCATTGACGTAGCATTAAATTCCCTCTTACAATATTGATTTATAATATTGAATTCTCTCTTACAATATTGATATATTATTAAATTCTCCCACGTACAATATCTCCGTTCCACGTACAATATTAACATAATGATTTGCACAGGTGGTCAGCAGCTCGTGCCTTCTTAGAGCCCGCTCTAAACAGAAGATACAAGGTTCACATGACAACCAATTCAGTTGCTTCTAAAATACTCTTCTCTGGTAACAGAGCTACGCAAGTCGTCTTCAACGAGGTAAACTTTGAATTTTTCTCGTTTAATTTTAGAAACCCAACCATTATAACTTTTACAGAATACAGATTAAATAAATTGTAACGAACCTACATTTTGAATGCAATTATGTAGAACTCCCATTTTTACCGTTGCCCAATATTTAACGGAATTGCACAGGACGGAGTGAATAAAGCCGTGCGAGCAACTAAAGAGATCATAGTAACTGGAGGTGCTATTGAAACACCTAAACTGCTCATGTTGTCCGGGATTGGACCCGCTGATGAACTCAATAAACACAAGGTATCACATTTCTCGTGGTTATTGTCATTTGTCACCTACCTTATGTCACATATGTTGAGATTCTTTAAGCTTTGACAGGGACATCACATTATATGACCACCCCACAGAAAGGTCGCCGATGCAATTCAGAATCTGGTATAAGGCACTGCATTCCACAATATTTCGGCATATGACTGCAAAATGCAAATGAATTATCATACAGTGACTAGTTTGCTGCTGAGCTGTCTGCACTCTGCATGCAGATGGAATGACTGCAAGGTTTCCAAAATGTGGCCTGGAGACAAACTGCACGTTAATGCTGTTACCGGTATGGTCGTGGAGAATCTTCCCCATATGAAGTAGAATGAACCACTTCCGAAACGCTGTAGAAACATCAGATTGTCATATTACTTACAGTTTGTAGCCACTACTACTAACTAATAACTATTTATTAAACTAATCGTGTGTTTCACGGTCTACTCACTAAATAATATCCCGTGCTAATACTAAGAACTACTCAGATTCCAGTAGTAGCTGATCTACCAGTAGGTAAAGGATTGAAGGACCCAATGAAGATGTGGTTACGATACAAATCCGATAACAAGGTCTCAGTAACTAGAGATAAACTTACTTCCGCTAAGAGCTTCCTTGAGTACTACTTCTACAAATCCGGTTAGTCGTGAAGCTTAAACGCCTATTATATCACAACTACTAAATACTAATTTTAAATTATTTTGTTGGTCACTGCTGCACGTGTGTTAGATCCCCTCACAATCGCTTTATAAATTATAATACACAGTAATATACTAGTAGTTAATTAATAGTAGTTTTTGTAATTGATGACTACATAATTAACCAATTAAATAATTAAAAGTTTCAAATCAAATCAACAGGCACGTGGTCAGAAACTCTCCAGTCTCAAACTACAGTGTTTATCGACACTAAGCAGAGCGGTTCCCAGCCTGATATTAATATAAACATGCTGCGTGCTGTTGCCCTTCCCAACCAGGTATGTTGCGTTGCACGTAACGTGACGTCATTACACGTGGTGTGACGTCATTACACGTGATATGACGTCATAAACACGTGATCAGGGTCGTAGCCAAGTTCTTAGTTTGGTGTACTAATAGTATAAGTACAGTCAACTAGTGTGGCCAAAATGTTTGGAGAGCTAAGTGTTTTTTTGCTCAAAATTAAATGTCTAGACTATAAAATTGATAATATTATCAACTTACGATACAGACGGTAAATAATGTAGTTTGTACACTCCTTTCCTTACTATAAAATATCCTGAGTCTACGTCTTATTAGTACCTCTTCAGGCAGAGATACTAGGAGTAAAGTACGAGTTAGAGGATCCGTTTAACGCTGGATTATACGACAGTAACACTGAGGGGTTCACTTTCCTCCCCACTCTTCTGCATCCTGCTAGCACTGGAGAGGTTCGTCTTTAAACACATATCCTACTGTGCTATATTATGTCGATGTAACGAACATCAAAGTTCATAAATTGCTTTTAACTCTGCTGATATTCAAAGCACTAGTTCACTAGGAGTTATATAGCTGTATAAAAGTTCTGCCACGGAATTACGATTTGTTAGAGCCGACCCACGTTAACATTTTCGGCACATCTTTCTACTGCACGGCCTTTAACCTGATACATGACATGACGTCATAGCAATATCCAATACTGGAATAGAACTGGAAGTCCACCGCGTACGCAATAATGTTTTATACTTAATGTGTCTAGTAATGACGAATGTGTCATTTATCGGCACCCCGAACTGATATAATACATGTAAAGTAATACGCAGATCTCAAAGTGACGTTGACATAGGTTTCGTGCAATAATTTTGTAATATAATGATATATGTCTCTAATATGTCAGCGTTTCGGTGGAGTTGGCCCTGATTTTATATGAGCTAGAAAGCTTTTAATATCATAGAACAGACGAACATGTGGCGTTGGTGTGTCAGTGGAGACATTACTACTTTATAAGAATGGTTGGGTAGTTTTATATTAGTAAAATATTGTGTTCTATAGTAGTAATATTTGCAGGTGCGACTGAGAAGTACAGGAATACACGACCCTCCCCTCATAGACCCCGGGTATTTCTCTAGTGAGGAGGATCTGGACACTCTCTTGGCTGCTGTCAGGTAACAGTACTGTTAATTACAATCATCCACAATTCTCTACAGTTCCTTCTGTTACCCACATCCATCTGAAGACGATTGACGAATGTTTATTTGAAAGTTTTAACTCTTGAACCATATCTCCCACCCCTTCACTCACTCCCTAAACTACATCCTCCTGCAGGTATGTACAGAAGTTGTCAGGCACGAAGGCCCTGGCTCCATTTGTCTCGGAGAGAGTGGACTACCCAACCAACCAACACCCTCATGATAGTGACGACTACTGGAAACACATTATCAGACAGTTCGCTTTTACTGCCGGACATCCTAGTGGAACTTGTGCCATCGGCAAGGTAACATATTCACATTATTTCGGGTATTTCATATTCTAAATATATTTTAAATCATTTAAGGACATTTTTGACCATCAACTGCCCTCTAAGACATTAATCCAAATACTGCCTAATCTCTTTAATTTCAAAATCAAAATCATTCGATCAGCTATTAATTATTAATTAATTTTTAATGCATAAAATTCCAGGTAGTAGATACTGATCTGAGGGTGCTAGGAGTTGAGGGACTGAGAGTAGTAGACAACAGCGTCTTCCCCACAACTGTGTCTGGTGACTCTACTGGTGTCCTGTATGGAGTAGCGGAGAAGATATCTGACATCATTAGAAAAGAGAACAGTTAATTTATCACTTGATTAATTGGTATATAGATTCAATTATTTTGGGAAATCATTTGTTGAAATTGTATTTAGTTATGAGACTAATAGTGGGATTGAACATTTAAACTACACGAGACGGGAATTTGAGGTTGGTTATTCTTCTATATCTTGAAGATTTAGTTGCACTTTCTATTCAACTTCATTCATCAGTTAATTAACTTATAACTTAAATTATTTGCAGTAAACCCATTTGAATCATGTTTGCTTTCTACCGCATTTCAGTTAATATTCAGCTGAGCTGGATCTAGTTATATATAATCTAATTATACAATCTAAAACTGATTATATTAAAGAACTAAAATGTCAATTTATTGGAAACATTGTTCAAGTTAGCTTCAGTAAATAGAGTATATATATATTAGAGAAATTATATATCACACTTCACAGTAAATTAGAGATCAAGGAGCTTGTATTTGTATTCTTTGTATTCCTGTAGAACAGACTAGATATCAGTTTGATGAAATTGTTGATCATATTTTCTGATTGTTTATCTTCAAGGGAAGGCTGTGTACAAAGTATCACGTATTTACGTTTATGATTCAGTTTTCAGAAAGTTAGAGTGAGATTAATGCAATGTGAAGGTTTAACTTAAGGGTGTATAATATAAACTTTGTTACATATTTCTTTAGAAAATGTTTTTTGAAAATAATCATCACCTAATTTTGAAATTTAATCTTTGAATTTGAATGGTAAAATAATGGTTTTTAATTTTCATAGTTTTGCAGCCTTGACAAAAAAGAGTTTTTCATTTGCACTGCCTAGTATTTAGATAGAGTTTTGGGTCACCAACACATCAACAAAATTGAAAAGTTTATTTCATAAGACAATGTCAGTGAATTAAGATTAAAGTGGGTTTAATAATTTTTACGCGACCTTTTCTCTATGAACGATTTAATTACCATTATATTCAGACTTTCTATTTCAAATTGTGTAATTTGGATTGTACTCATTTTAGTAAACTTGATTAAAATATTGTTTTTACCGTCTACTATCATGCTGTATTAGGGACCGTTCACATATATTATGTAAGCAAGATTTTGACCTTTTCAGACCTCCCCCGTAAGTCACTTTACACATAGACAATAGCCATCTTGTAAAAATTACACTATATGTGAACGATCCCTTAAAGAGCTAAGAATTAACCAAAAATATGAACAAAATAAATGTATCTGTAGTTATTATGACTGAAACCTTTCGCAGAATCACGATAAACTTCCACTCAAAGTAATTAATCAATAAATTGGTATAACCTTTACAAAAAATAACAGAAAGTATTTGTAGATGAATGAGCGAAGCAGGAAGATAGCAGACAGCTTGTCCGAGATCAGACAGACCCTTAACTCCACCTTGGTAACCGAACCTAAACCACACTCCAGCCAATCCAAACCCACCGCCCAGCTTACCTCACTGGAAGCGAACGTGTCAACTGTCGTGGACCAACATGAAGATGTTCTCAATCACCTGACTCGCCAGGTTAACTGCTACAAGGAATCACTGGGAGCGCTGCGCGAGAGGTGCGAGGTGTTGGTGCATCAGAACCAAGCGCTGCACAAAGAGTTGGAACAGCACATTAACCTGGATGTGACGGAGCTAGCAGGACAGGGCTGCGGAGGAGAGGTGTTAGGAGGGGAGGCCGGTGCAGCGCATGCTAACTTATTAGAACAACTAATTGATAGACGTGGTATATATGAGCAGCAGATCAGCACGTTAGAGAGGCAGGTATCACTGCTGAAAGTAGAACTGAAGGATTCAGAGTACCAGAGAAATCAGGCAAGATCACGTGCACGTGCAGACTCAGATCACATGACAGTTTGTGAGAGATGCAGGGACACGCCCCTCTCTCAGGTTCACATGACACAGGTTACAAGGTTAGAACAGGATAAACAAGAGTTGGAAACAGCTTTAATGAATCTACAAAACGTGGTTGAAGTAATGAAGAAGAGGGAGGATGAGGCTCTGTTTAAAGTGAAGAAGAGTGTAGAGATGGTGGATAAGGTTAAGTCTGATCAGGAGACACTCGAGATAAAGTTAAAGCGCAGTTCTGACGAGTTGAACAGAGTAAGGGAGAGACACTCCGTACAGACAACTCAAGCAAAGGCTGAGTTACAACAGCTTCACGACGAGGCAATCGCAGAATTGAGAGACAAACTTCATACCAAAGAGAGAGATTTGACAGATTCACTTACAGAAATACAAAAACTTCAGCTGCAAATAGAAGCAGGGGAGAGAGAGAAGAGGGAGCAACAAAACATGATAGATAGATACAGGGAACAAGGTCTAACCAGCATGGAAGTAGTGGACAAGACATCCCAGCAGTTGCGCGACCAGCTGCGCCATGCACTTCAGGAGCGTGATGAAGCCATCAGTCAACTAGCACTAAACAAAAACAATGTGCAGCTGGAACTACATGATAGACAAAGAGAAGTGCATCAGTTACAGGGCGAGGTCACCAGGTATAAAGCTAGGACAACTTCTGGCGAGGAGATTGTTAGGAAGCTGACCTTAGAGTCTGCGACTTTACATGATGAGATTGCTAACCTCAAGATCAACATGAACAAGGTTCAGAATGAGAAGGTATCGATGGAGAAGACTAATGCGCTGACGATTGAACACCTCAAATTGGTGTCAACGCAGTCGCAGCAAAGCGCTAAGAGTGAGATTGAGGAGCTGCGCTCGAGACACAGTGAAACGGTTGCGCAGTTGCACAAACTACTCCAGCAGCAGCAAAGTCTGGCTAACAAATGGCGGACTGCACACAGTGAGTCTATCAGACAGTTCGAGGAAAACTCCAAGGTAATGTCAGAGGACTTGGCTCAGACAAAGAAGCAGTTCAATCTCGCTCAACAAAAATCAGGATCCAACGAGAGTAAAGTGAAATCTCTGTCAGCCAAAAACAAGACGCTCAGAGAAACAGAGAAAAAAATGGCCAAGAGCTTGAAACTAGCAGAGTCACATATAATTAAGACAGCAGAGGAATTGTATGGTGTAGTGCAAAAGAAGAATAATCTGATGCGCGAGCGCTCTGTCATGGCTAAAGAGATAAACTTGTTGCAGACCCAACTCTGTGATGTTCCTACATTTGTTCCCAAACACTATATCGAGAGTCCTAAACTAGAAATTGATGATTCCTGAGGAGCTCTTACCCTAGGGGCTCCTGCTCTGAATTATAACCAATATTCCGGAGGATTTTAAATAAGAGTTTGAGGGTACCCGGTACAAGCTCATACTGGTTGGAACTTTGATGTTTGTGAGTTGCTAATGATACTTTTTGGTGATTTTGTGATCAGTTCTCTTTTTAATGGAAGGGAAAATAAACAGGTATATGTTTTCAGACTCAGAACTTTATATTGACCATTTTGTATTTTACCAGATCACACTTTTATTTTAAGTCTAAATTTAACTATATGAAATCTTATTTTAAGTGCGTTTTTGTGCGAAGCATGTTTCAGATTTATGTCATATTTAATCAAGTCCACTGTAATATATATTGTAAATCATGTTATTCAAAAGATTATCTAATGAAAAACGTAATGGTGTTTCTATAGGCAATAAACCTCCTTTTGATCATATACTACGGTGAATATCATTTTATTTCTGATCCACCGAAATCAGAAAACAATTTCAATGTCATGTCAGTGAACATATTGAGTAAACACCACTTTGACTTGATGATTATCTTTTTGCCTTTTATCGTTAGTAAATTATTATTTCCAAGTATCATTTTATCACAACACCTCAACCCAGAATGGCTGAAGGAACAGAAGCAGTACAATCAGTTCTCTACTACACAGAAGCGGAAGCATTTGTTGAATCACTCCGCACATTCCACATCAAAGACATTGGAACGGACAAATGGGAAACACAGAGAGAAAACATAGAGAAACTGAATATTCAGGCGGTGGTGGACGCTACTAACAATGTGGAAGAATCTATCAAAGAACTGTTGATAACCCACGAGAAAATACCCACTATAATACACGAACTCATAGCGCTGGATCTCTGGAAACGAAACATTCTCCCTAAAATCCTAGAAATGGATTTTAACGCAGAGACCTCCTTCCCTGCATACGTAGTCATGTTCTACGAGGCTATCCTGATAGGGCTGCTAGAAGTACTTCTCTTTCACAGCGAGTGTTGTGAAGCAGCCGGGGACTCACTACACGATCTGTTGCAATACTGCCAACATAAGTTAGTGTGGTTGGTGGCTGGGGAGGAGGACTGGCATACCATCTCCACAGAGACCACTAGTGTTGAGGATGCCAAGGAGGAGCTTATCAAGAGACACAAGAAAATATCGTTTGATGTGGCACTGAAATGTATTGCAGTGGTGAGGTATGTTGGAGAGCATTCCAAGGATGTTTCGTTAGGTATCACCACACGTGTTCTGAACACGTACGATTTCCCCGCAATATTTGCTGGGCTGATTGATAACCCCCCGTGGTTAGTCCGGGAAGACAAGGGACAGTGGTTGAAGTATGATAACAGTAAGTGGAATAAAACCTCACATGATGATGTTAAGAAACTCAGCAAACTTGAAGGTCAGCTCTGGATTGGAATGTTACAGTTCTTAATGTCAGAGAATTGTCAGAGGAACTATCAGCTCAACTCTTCCAATCAAGCCAGTATTCTGAAGTTGCGTGCGCACTTTCACCCTCAAGTATTGAACCAGCTGCCAGCGCTCGTTGACTTGCAGCGCTACTTGGAGGAGTTGTCCCTCATGTCCACTCCTACATCGCGCCCACCTCTCATTCTAGAACAAGTTCCCGAATTTTATACAGCACTTGAGAATAAATGTAACGGCAAGTGGCACGACCTTGCTGTCAAACATTACAAAGCTATATTCTGCATGTCAAAGGAGCGAATGAAGAAGCAAGCTGACAAGTTTGCTGCCACATATGACATGGATGTAATGTCTGACCTGATAGCTGAACCTCCTAAGTGTGAGAACTGCGGAGAAGGTGCAGCTAAAAGATGCTCATCATGCCAAACTTCCTGGTATTGTGGAAGGGAATGCCAGGTGAAACACTGGTCCAAACATAAGGAAAATTGTAAGCTTATTGCTAAAACTATGAAGCATGCTAAGGACCTAAAGGCTGCTAATAATCAGGGCGGTTCATGAACAGATTTGCATTTAGGGCCATTTTCATCATTCTTTACAAACTGTTCATTGTACAGTCGTCAGATATTTGAGCATTCTTCGAATTTCTAGGTCGATGTACAGAATTTTTAATTTTTCAGTGTAAATAACCACCATTTCTACCAATTTTTACACTTCACAGTTCATAGTTGCAGAAAGTAGTATATTTATTTTCAGAGCTTATTAATATTATATATATTGTTGTACGGTAAATCTAAACTTTATTTATAATGTATAAATAATGTATAAATTCAAGTTGTTAATCATAATTAATCTCTTCTTTTGTCTGAATTTTTGCAAGTTGCAACAATAAAAACTCATGAATTGAGACAGTAATAGTATTCCTCTAAAATTTGAATTTCTAAACATCACTTCAACTAAGTTCTCGCTTTTGAACATCAAAATAATAAAATTCACCAGTAAGGCATGATTGTCAGAGGAAGTACAAGACTGTCTGGATCATTTCATAATATAAGGTAAATTAACAATTATGATATAAATACTTGTAGAGATCGACCATACAAATTAAAAACTGTGCTTGAATGTGACGATTTGGACCTTTAATATCGAACCGTTAATATCCGAATGAAATCCATCGAACTTCCTTTTAAAATTACAAAATTATTTTCCCGTTTTCTTTATCTCTGTTCCATATTAATGTTCCCATCAGAAGTGTAACCAGTACACGGGCTGCTATATGTTCAAGACAACTTAGTGACAGTACGGTCCCAGATAAAATAACGTACGAGCTACCGTTCACACATACGCCGGGCAGATGGGAAACGTTAGAGGAAACGTTACCTAGATTAGAAAGTTACAAACAACGTTCTACTGCTACTAGTATGTTTCTTATAAGTAACTTTTCTAAAAGTTCTATATAATTCATGACTCTCTGCGCATGTGATGTGACTTACAGGTCTAGGACAAGTCTAGATGAGATGTTAACCGTACGCGTATTTTGGAGGATAGTCACTGTTCTACTTCTAGATTCCTTGTGCTATTTGACGGTTAAGATTAAAATGAGGTTTGGACTTTACTAAATTGATCTGATTTTCAGAAAAGCTGCAGAAGCGGTACATAATAACGATGGTCAGTTTGGTCACTTTGTTCTTCTACGTAATGCGGCCAACTGCTGAGCAAAGACAGATAGCTTCTCAGGGTTGGGAGGATCTTAAAAGTGGAACATTACTAGACCGGAGTAAAACTTCAGACAAATCTGACTCAACGTGAAAGAGATATTCGCCAAGACGATCTTAAATTATGATTGTTGAATTTTTCGTGACCATTGCAGGACTGAGACTGGAATGAATTATTAAAGAATGAATTCTAGCATGCAATGCAAACTGAAAGTGACCCTGACAATTTTGATCTGTACACATTTTTGTATCGGTTTGATTGAGAAAAATGGATTTGTGTGTAACTATGATCGACTGATACTTCATAGTGACGAATTGATGTATTTCTGAAGCTTGCTTGACGAGGAAATAAAAACCGTTAATGTGTGACATTTTGTGCCAATTTTTGTAAAATTCCTTTACGCCGAATGCAAGATTCGTGTGGTTTCTAAACTTTTTGGCGCGTGAATCATAGTTTGGTGCGCGCGGCAACTTATGCTACGCGCGCATTTGATCTGGTACATTCGTTGAATTTTGCAATATAGCCGCTATTGAACAAAATCTGTTTAATGTCGTCATCTTGGAATAACTTGATCCCAAACTTAGGTTATGTGAGTTACGAGCTCAACCAGTCACCAGCAACCATGAAGATAACACTATCAATGCACTGAGAGGATGGAGACGAACGTTATGCAACCACAAGCCTCGTATGTATTCGACCGCCAATGACAAATATTAGGCTGTTTTTTGCACCCAACGATAGTGTGACTTTATGCTATGGTACTCTACATAAGATCATCGGATTCTGGGATTGTTGCATGCTCTTGTAAAATCGTTTGCTACTTGTAGTATGCAGTACATTAAATATCGGATTATCATAACCCTACGTTTATCAACCCATTCACTAATAATGTACTCAAGTTCATATTTCCGAAACAATGAAGGTCATTATACCACTTGCTTATAGCTATAAAGTTACTGTCCTTTTTCGTATCGTTCCACATCGAAATCTAAATGTGGCGTTAAACACATCTTTACAGGTTAGCACATCATCTTATGAGGAAATATCCAACACAATCAAAAGCACACTAGAATTTAATCTTACCTTAGAACGTACACCCTGTATCAGTACAAGTCAGTTTTCCAGACCTTTCGATTCAATTTGCCGACTCGTTGATATATCTTGTATCAAAACCGCATGGAGCAGGTGTACTAATGTTTCATCAGTTTTAATTCTTTCGCTGAATTTCTCCACAATTCTTCTCCGTTTGTGTTCTTGCTCGCCGCAGGATCTCTTTTCTTCTTGCAAATTAGCACTACAAACACTTGAACATTGCTACGTGGAGCTTGCTTCTTTCTGCACACTTGCTTGGGTTATTCTGGGTTACCACATATCTATAATCTCGATCGGTGCAACCAGATAGATAGAGCTGAGGTATATCGTGATGGCAGCGGAGATGCCAGCTGAAGACAAGAAGTAGGTTTGCTCATGTTCAGAAGCTCACGATTGGAAATTTTTTGGCTGGGTTGAATACTTCTTTGGCCTTTTGAACAGTACGAAGAAATAAAGAATTGGTTATACTTAAAGAATAAGAATTTTACGTCCCCAAATTTGGACCCCAAAGTGCTGTCAAAATCACAAAATAAATAAATACTGTTTTCTCCTCATAGCACGTTCTGCTAGTCTGAATAATAGCTTAGTGAATACGGCCCTCGTTATTAAGCTTACCTACATCACCTCAAATTCAAGCGCCAAGCTCTCATCGAATTTATTTAGTCTTGGAAGAGTACATGCATTACAGAAAGCAACGTGCCAATGGTTTATGTGATTTATTTATGTATGTAGTTTGTGTACTCAGTAAACAATAACACTCTACTCTACATTGGTCGTCACTATTTGTACTTAATTCGTAAAACATAATCTTGGTAAGTATTTGTTTGCTCAGCCACGTCAACTATCAAGTACCGGGCTCATGCCCTCTCTCGGCTTCATAACTGGTTTCAGTATGATTTGAGGTCGCAACGATTTGCCCGTTCAGCAATTGTGCAGCGTTTTTTCTTCAAAACTGATAATGAAAACAAATCGTATGAAACCTTGAACTGTATCACATTACTTACACGTACGTGATGTATCATATTGGGGTATAATTAGTAATTACGGTGCTGTTATGAAATCACGTTAAAAGTTTCACGTTTCCTTTCTTATCTTTTGACCTGCTTCTGCACTGCTTCGTAAGGCCATGTTTAGTCATTTCGAAGTTGTAATCTATAAAGTTTCTCATTTTTTGAATTGATGACTGATCTATCTCACGAAAGCCCAACAATTAGTAAGGGGAAAAGTGGTCGATTTAAGGGTTCCGTTGGATTTGAATGTTCACAAGGATTTCTCAACGGAATATGGTAGTTAGGACCCCTACGAACATAATTAGACTTGTCACCAATTTTGTATCTCATGGAAACACCTCTTTTTACCACTTTTTACCACCTTCTTACCACCTTTCTGGTTTGCTAAATATCTTTAGTTGTGAACGTCGTAGAAGGTTGCAAATTAATCGAGGATGTTCATCTCATCAAAGAGAAAAACTTTTGTTAGAAAACTTTTTACGTTGGATAATCAGCTAATTGGATAATTACCAACTAGCTAATTACCAAAAAAAGTGAAAATTTTTTATTGGCTCAGAATGATTGAAATCGGTTGAAACACGGAGAAATGTAGTTTTTAGAAAAACTTCAAAAATTGGTCACTTAACAAGAATTTCGCCGCGGTAACACCACGCACGATCAAATTTCCCTACTGCATACAATTTAATTGTTCTACTTTATTGTATCCCAGAGTGGTGTTTGGCGCATGTATAATGTAATAAACGTTTATATTATATTAGGCGTGCAGAACTTGAAAAATCCTGCGCGCATCTGAGGTGTCGCCGTCGATCTGTATGTGGTTTGGTTGTAGATCATTTCATACTTTGCGCGGTTTTGTTTCGTGTCAACTTATTGACCGTAATAAAATATGCTGTCTCGTCTTAGTTATTATTTGTATCTAACATAAACTAATACATTTTGATTCTTACTCGACACATCACAGCACCATCGACTTTCGAGCCTTTTATTTGATATAGTATTCTTTAAAAGCATACCACAATCTTGATATTATAGTTGCTTCTTGAATGTAACTGTGAAGTAACATTTGTTCTCAACTATGTATTCCAATGCTTTCTACCATTCAGTGTCGATTAACTGTTAAATAATCAGCCCACAGCCACGAGTTTATCAGCTGACATCATAATTTTATTTGTTTTGACTTGCTGAATTTTATCACTCGGTAATTTATTAAGCTTGTTTCACACAAATAACACCTATATTGATGATTGATCCGTTTGTAACAGTCGTCAAGCACCAAAAATTGGTTGCTATGCCTGTAATTAATTAACTCATAACCAGCGTCGCGCGCGCAAAATAGACTCCTTTTATACACATAATTATAGGGGAGTGGTCTATATTGCGAAGGAGCAGACTTTTGTCGACACCGTAGGACCGTCGGGCCACCTCATATATCCAAACCCGATTACTTATTCCCTACGATCTTTTTGCCTTCGGCAAGAGTAGGGAAAAAAATTTTTTTCGAGACTTGGAAAAAGTTTGAAAATTTGAAAATATATTATTCCGCCAAAAGTGATCGAATTGCATGAAACGTGGATAAAATGCTTTGGAGAAAAACTTCGAAGATTTCTAGATTAGGGAATACTAAAATCATCAATATTTGAAGTTGGAGTTCAGTAAATCTCGACATATTTTATTAATTAGGAATAGCTCAGCGGAAAGGGCTGAACCTGAAAAAGGTTAACCACACAATATTAGAGTTTCATAACTAATTACAATACAGCTTTATCAAATTCCACATAAAGAAACAGCACAAAAAGACCATTTAAGATCGAACCGATTTTACCTGCTGTACTATCATTTTATTGATTTCAATGATCAAAACCTCTGTACCGTCAATCTTGCCAATCTATACCGGGTATCTGAATGTACCGGACCTCTTATTTACCTCTATAATTAGACCCAGTTGTGCAAGAAATGCGATTTCTCACAGGAGTTTCTTTTAGTTTTAACTGTGCACTTTTTGTCACTCTCGCAAGAGGCCCGGTATTATAGGGGGTATAGGAAGCGAGTGTAAATATACCTTCCATCATCCACTGTGGCTTTATTGTATTGTGAATGCGCATGCCGCTTCGTTTGTTATGCCATATACCTCAAATAACCCCCATATCTCATTGCCAGGGTCGAGATAGAGCTGGAGATAGCATCGAGAGGTTGCTAGAAATAGCTAGATTTAGAGTAAACAGGTGGTATTTGGGTGGTGCTAGCATGGATGTAGCAGAACGTAGCTACACGGGGTTTCATTGGAGTTGGTTATTTTAATGGCCAAAGAGTGCCGGAACTAAAGTTACTTAAGATTGCAGTTGTAAACCACGGTGTAGTCAAGGACACAGAGCTACAGTGCAGGAGTACTACAAAAGAACAGTGCAAGTGATACAGTCTGCAACAGTAAAACGCCGAAGGAGATAAGATTGTGGCTGCAGAGGAGGAGAGGAGCAGGAACCTGATTGTGTTTGAAAGAAGAGGAGGAAGGAGGGTTTCTTGCCCAGGTATTTTTGGAAGAGGTGAGGTGAGAACTTATACCCAAGCGACAAGGGTGGGCTGGAAGCGACCAGGTACAGCTATCCGACCAATAAAAATCACCGTCCTGAGCTTAACAGCCTTTCATCAGATTTTGATGAAAACAGAAGGACTGACCCACCCTTTTTAGATGCAACGAAACCCTTCATATAAATCGACTTTTCCGCATGAATTACTTCATGGTATCTTCTTATCAAGGCTACAGACCTTGCCGTACCGGATTTATTGATCGAAGTGAGTCTCTTTAGCCCTCTTCTTCTTTAGAGCTTTAGGTTAGTGATCAAACTCTTCGCTACTCGCTCTTCACTGGATCTATCAGGACAGATTCACATCTTTTTAGGTCTCAACCAGCCTTAGTTTTCCTGTTTTCATCATGTAGTACGTTCTGCTACCTCCATTTTAGCACCACCCAGCTTCCATCAGTTCACTCTAAGTCTAGCTTTGTCGGCGTTTTACTGTTGCAGACTGTATCACTTGCACTGTTCTTTTGCAGTACTCCTGCACTGTAGCTCTGTGTCCCTGACTCCACCGTGGTTTACACTGCCCCTCAACTGCAATCCTAAGTAACTTTAGTTCCGGCACTCTTTGGCCATTAAAATAACCAACTCCAATGAAACCCCGTGTAGCTACGTTCTGCTACATCTATGCTAGCACCACCCAGCTACCACCAGTTTACTCTAAATCTAGCTATTTCTAGCAACCTCTCGATGCTATCTCCAGCTCTATCCCGACCCTGGCAATAAGATATGGGGATTATTTGAGGTATATGGCATAACAAACGAAGCGGCATGCGCATTCACAATACAATAAAGCCACAGTGGATGATGGAAGGTATATTTACACTCGCGTCGCTTCCTATACCCCCTATAATACCGGGCCTCTTGCGAGAGTGACAAAAAGTGCACAGTTAAAACTAAAAGAAACTCCTGTGAGAAATCGCATTTCATGCACAACTGGGTCTAATTATAGGGGTGAATAAGAGGTCCGGTACATTCAGATACTCGTTATAGATTGGCAAGATTGACGGTACAGAGGTTTTGATCATTGAAATCCATAAAATGATAGTACAGCAGGTAAAATCGGTTCGATCTTAAATGGTCCTTTTGTGCTGTTTCTTTATGTGGAATTTGATAAAGCTGTATTGTAATTAGTTATGAAACTCTAATATTGTGTGGTTAACCTTTTTCAGGTTCAGCCCTTTCCGCTAAGCTATTCCTAATTAATAAAATATGTCGAGATTTACTGAACTCCAACTTCAAATATTGATGATTTTAGTATTCCCCAATCTAAAATCTTCGAAGTTTTTCTGCAAAGCATTTTCTTTACGTTTCATGCAATTCGATCACTTTTGGCGGAATAATATATTTTCAAATTTTCAAACTTTTTTTCCAAGTCTCGAAAAAAATTTTTAAGTGAACAATTTTTGAAGTTTTTCTAAAAACTACATTTCTCCGTGTTTCAAACGATTTCAATCATTCTGAGCCAATAAAAAATTTTCACTTTTTTTGGTAATTAGCTAATTGGTAATTATCCAATTAGCTGATTATTCAACGTAAAAAGTTTTCTAACAAAAGTTTTTCTCTTTGATGAGATGAACATCCTCGATTAATTTGCAACCTTCTACGACGTTCACAACTAAAGATATTTGGCAAACCAGAAAGGTGGTAAGAAAGTGGTAAAAAGTGGTAAAAAGAGGTGTTTCCGTGAGATACAAAATTGGTGACAAGTTTAATTATGTTCTTAGGGGTCCTAAATACCATATTCCGTTGAGAAATCCTTGTGAACATTCAAATCCAACGGAATGCCACTTTTCCCCTTACTAAATGAATGAATTAGCTGCCTAACAATTATGAAATGGACACTGGCAATGTTTTATTGCAAACAGCATTTAAATGGGATCAATCATACTTCTAGAGCCAGAGGATTAGAAATGTTAATTTGAGTTCTGTGTAAAATAGCTACAAAATTGATACATATTTTGAATGTTGAGGCTAATTAAGGAAAATAGTCCGACTGTGATATAAGGATCTATACTGAACCATGGCTGTTGTTGAATCTCTTTACCATGTTTACGTGATATCCTGCCCTTGATACGAAGTATTAGTATTTATTGATCACCTTATCTGTTCTTAAATATCTGCTTGCTATTCAATAGAGTCCACTTCCTGCTTCAGTTAAATATAGAAATATAGAAACTAGTTCCCTCCTTATTTGTCGTAATCATGGAACGTGACGGTCGTGGTCATGACGAATCTTGCAATAGTTCCATTAAACATTTTCTTTCGATCAACTCCAGCTACACCTGCTGTGCCACATACCATTTCTCATTAGCGATCTCATTCACTCCAAGACCTTTTAAACACGTCGTGGAGCCGCTGATTTGAGAGTAACGAGTTGCGTTTCTTTGTCTGATCAAATTAAATTACAGATTATATGTAGCTTTCATCCAACTTGCTATTACACTATCCGACTGAATGGTTGAAAGTTGAAAAATAAACACTCTAGAGATCAGTAAAACTGTTTTCTGCAATCTTAATCACGTGTGTGGAATGCAGTCAAATGTTTGTTCACAGTATACCGAACAACACATCTTTATTCTTTTGTTCTGGAAAGCCATTACCAGTGTTTTACACGTCGTTTTGAAGATTTTTATTATCCTCTGCTGGCCAAATACAACATTATTTATTGAAACGTAATTTTTCTCTCTTATCAGTCTCAAGTTGTGGCATTTGGGCTGATTGGCTGGTATCTTCTAAAATGTGCGGGAAATGGATCTAATTGGGTGACGTTGTCTGTCACCCGCCACAATACCTGATTGGTTTGGGGACTGGCCCGAAGTGCCAGCCAATCTATCTCATAAAATAGTAAATACATAATGAAACCTAAATAATAATCATAAGACCTGGGTGAGATCTACTTTGCGATTGCTATATCTTAGCAGAGTGGGCTAGACAGATCGTCACATATCTAACATACCTACCTTACTACCAAAAACAATTTACTGAAACCTTTTACGCTGTATGCAAAGAGAGTGTGGCAACACTTAAATAGATAACACACCTAAATAGATAACACACCTAAAATTTACACATCTAAAACCCTTATCAGAACAACTTAAATAAAAAGTTATTATCAGTTCATAATTTATTCTAGAGTCTAGACACAATCACTAAATACTTAATAGAGACTTTCTGCAACTATCAGTCTGGGGCTTGATATTGAGCATACTTTTTTATTTCTGATATAATATTACGCTTAGTCACCTCATTCATTTCCTGAACTAGTTTTGTTTTCGAGTTGTTCGCTCTTCTTTAAATCGGTCTGGTGACAAGAAAATGTCTTAAAAGTTGAAGTTGTAACCTGGATCTCCCACAGTTTTAAGATCTTTCGCCTAATGCTGCTAATTAAAACAATCGCCCGGTCGTTCAATTGATCTTCTATATTGAGTACAAGCCCATCTGTAACTTAAGTTAGAACTTAACGTTAGAACTTCAGTTAATATACAGAATAATTTCTTAGTCCATGAAATGTGATGGTTTCTGTGCCCTTCAAAGTGCGTCATAATATTCACACCATGCGGTTTCACATTTCTTGTCTTATCAGCTGATTACTTCAAAACGTGCACTTTCATGTTCGTGCTGTGCCACCGTCGTGTCTTTCATTACATTGAGTGTTCGTCGGTATATCATTGTTTGGCCTTTGGGTTGATAAAATAATACACTACTTTCGCACCAACTTAACCTGTTCCTATTTTACAAAACTTCTGACTTAAGTTAATACCATCAGCGATCAATCACGATCTCTGTTTGTTGCATTTGGACACTAAGGGAAATACACAATATGAGGCTTGAACCCTGTTTATACTTCTGTAGCGAATCATTCAAAACTACATGACGTTATCATCTTATTTAATATCACTCAAAACTGCGCTCCGTCACTCCATGAGCATTGATCAATTAATTAGTTGTAGTTAGGGTAGCTAAACGAGTAATAAATGAATGGATCAATATTATGAGTAATTAATATATTATATTTATTAATGCCCTACTTTTCCAGAGCCAACATGAACCAGACAGCACGGGGAATTGTTGTTCTGATTGGAGCTGTTCTCATTCACATTACCCTTGGGGTCCTTTATTGCTTCGGTTAGTTTAATTCAGTTACATCAGTTAATTGATGTATTGAGTGCTCTAATACTAAATTTACAATTTTACCCGGTAATATGATGAATTATGGATCTTACGATTACTGCTGCTCAATCAAGATCATCTATTTCAAAATTATTAATTTGCTTGGCTATTGGCTAATTGTGGGGAGCCATTGTTACTCATTGTTACTCAGAGTTTACATCACAGAAACTTTCTTTCAGGCAATATCAGCACGTACATAGTATCCTACCTCAGATTCAGAACTGATTATGATACTGTCAGATTCACCGTGAGTAATAATCTTAGTTAATAGTTGTAAGCTCGTGTAAATACTGAATTGAAACTATAAATATTCAATCAAAGCTCTGTGATCTGTCTTAAGGGGGCAGGGGGGGGGGTCTTTATGAAATTTCTCTCGAAATTGATTTTATAGTTGTTTCTGATAGAGGGGAGTGATATCTACCAGATTTTTTTGGTCCCATGGAAAAATTTTGTTCCTAGCCGAAATTATTGCCAGTCAAAGGTCAGCGCTCATGTGTAATTGTATTGCGCGAGCGATTTTCAATTGCGCGCCCTGAAAATCGAGTCTAAAAATCTATCTTCTCCTAAATTTTTTGAGCAATCACCTTGAAACTTTCAGGATATGTTCTAAGGACCATTTAGAAACTTCTGGTCTCTCAGAATTTTAAGATAGGCCTTAGAAAAGTTTTTATTCGATTTTGAAAATCTTGGACCTCGTTTTTTGACGATTTTTTCAGGTCCAAGATTTTCAAAATCGAATAAAAACTTTTCTAAGGCCTATCTTACAATTCTGAGAGACCAGAAGTTTCTAAATAGTCCTTAGAACATATCCTGAAAGTTTCAAGGTGATTGCTCAAAAAATGTAGGAGAAGATAGATTTTTAGACTCAATTTTCAGGGCGCGCGATTGAAAATCGCTCGCGCAATACAATTACACATGAGCGCTGACCTTTGACCGGCAATAATTTCGGCTAGGAACAAAATTTTTCCATGGGACCAAAAACATCTGGTAGATATCACTCCCCTCTATCAGAAACAACTATAAAATCAATTTCGAGAGAAATTTCATAAAGACCCCCCCTGCCCCCTTAAGATCAAATACCAATAAAAAAATTATTTAAATAAATTTATTTTTATGACACAATCAAACAATATCAATGTTATGGTACAAAAATCAGTGGAGGTTTTAAGTGCCGAAGGTCACTAGTTATCGTCGTCGTTACTAATAACAAGCCTTAATTCCACCATTTCAGAACACCCAGTGGATATTAACTCTGATGGTGTGCGGGCAAGGAACCACCATGGTGATAGGGGGTCTGATGGAACGTAAAATAGGGGCTAGACTCACTATTCTCGTTGGCTGTACTATTCACACGTGAGAACTTAAGTTATTTTTTGTTTCCAGCTACTTCCAAACCAAAATGAACCACGTGCGAGTGATGTTTTACTGATATGATAACAGTTTTTAACAGTAACGAGTTTTCCCCAAAATTACAGATCAATGTTTATAATTTCATAATACTTGAACCCTTTGGTTTTGCCCTCCTCCTTGCTTACCCCGCACTTCCCAGGTTAACGGCCGCACTTTCCTTCTTTGCTATCCGTTCTTTCTACGCTCTTATAGTAACTTACGGCGTTCTGTTTGGATTCGGTATTGGTATAGCCTACTCTCCAGCTATGACACTTGCTATGAAGGTTGGTCAGTCTTCATTCAGCTTTAATGTAACTTTATCAGTTTAATGTAACTTTAATGTTTATAAGGAATTTCCTTAAATAATTGTAATATCTCCATCCCTGAAGCTTGAGTGGGTGATGATAACAAAAACTTTATAGTAAGTTAAACTTAACCCCGGTTACATCCCAGTGGTTACCGACCTATAAAGGAGTTGTAGCGGGAAGTGTGGTGGCAGGGTTCGGGTTAGGAGCTATGGTCTTTAACCCCATCATAACCACCTTTATTAACCCTAACAACACCAGTCCTTCCTACGCCCCCTACCCGGATCATCCCTCAGAAAAGTAGGTTCACTGCAAATTTCCTTTTAATCTTGTTAGTATGAAATTTGGTCTATTGAAATTCCTTTATTCCTTTAAGTACTAATCCCACTTATTGTCAATGTGCAACAAGATATTGGATATTGAGATATCTCTCAAATTGACATATCTACCTAAATTTGGCTTACTATTTTCAGATATTACCACGATCCAGAGGACAGTGCCTTATTAGACAGAGTGCCATACTGTTTCCTGGTTATGGCTGGCTTCTTTATTGCGCTACAAGTTGTTGGGAACCTACTGTTAAAATCTCCTCCCCCAGTCTTCGAGGACTTTTATGTAAGTTAAATTCGATCACCTTTAGAGTTTATCTACCCTAATAGTAATAACTGTAATACATTGTCGTACAAATAAAGGGCAAAGGCTTGGGTTAACTACCTTTTGAATAATCTTAATTGCGGATATACCCAAAATTTAACATTATTTACGCGGTATTAATCGGAGTTTTACTGTATACCATAACTGACTGTCTCACTTGTTGTTACTGACAGTCCACTGTCCAGGAATCTGGTGTTAACGGAGGATCCCCCTCCCTTCAACACGACAGTTCCGCTTCAAACTACCTGCTACAAGAAGCAGGACCTGCCGAGTATACTCCTCTACAGCTACTCAAACACAGAGATTTCTGGATACTGTGGTTCACCTTTCTGTGTAACAACCAGGGGATCTGCTACGTCAGCACTTATTGGAAGGTCAGCTCTATTTCTTTAGTTCTGCAACTGTGTCGTGTCTCTATTATGTATTCACTTTTGTGGTATTCTAGAGGTATCAGTCTCGTGTTTTGATTCTAACTGAACCTACATTTCCCCTATATTTTCAGTCGTTTGGACAAGGTTTTATAACAGATGACTTGTTCCTGGCGGGTATAGGATCTGCTGCTAGCGTGGGGAACGCTTTCAGTAGGATCATTTGGGGTGGTATTGGAGACAGACTCGGCTTCAAGGTTACAACTTTGTGTGATTTACACTTTACAGCAGATACAATCATTTAGATTGCTTCGGATGATACTGGTGGTACTGATCATTCAGTACTAATCATCGGAGAAAACCAACAAAAACTATAAAACTGTTTCGTACACCATACCTTACAAATCTTATCTATAATTGTCACTATTACCCGCTAGGTTGCAATGTGTACACTACAAGCATTGTTTGCTATGCTTTACATCATCATGTTCTTTACACAGCATGGCAAGTGGGGCTACGCTATCTTCGTCTTCTGCCTCTTTTTCTGTGTTGGAGGTGAGAACTTAGATACTACATATTATGTTAGAATAAGTTAGAACAGGGTAAAACGGGGGGGGGGGATGTAAGGATGATGGAGCATGAAATGAAGTATTTAGCAAGAAGTTCTGCTTCTCGTTGCAACTTTGGTAAATTATGCGTGGATGAAAATGGTGGTCTCTTAAATCTTTTCAAACAATACATAACTGAACTTTCAGGAAGTTTTTCCTTGCTACCTGCAGCAACAATAAGAAGTTTTGGCTCCCTGAACGCCACAGCTAATTACGGGCTGGTCTTCACATCAGCTGTAAGTTTATTTCTTCTTTACTTAATTAATAAATTTACAGGAAGCTTCTCGCTCATCCCGGCCGTTACTATACGCACCTTCGGTAACCAGTTCTGTACGGCTAACTACGGGCTAGTTTTTACTTCTGGCGTGAGTTTCAGAATTTGCCTGATTGTGGCGTGATAGTTTTGCTTGCAGAAATCCTGATCCTGGATTTTTGTTTGTCTGTGACGTGCGTAAAAATTACTGTGATTAAATTGAACGCATTTTTGTTGTTGTGGCAACCACTCCACCTCCGTACGCATGTTATTGTTTAGTATTAGATACCGCAGTGTCAATAGATCAGTACAGATACACTGATAGGACATAATATGTGCTTGTCGCCTGTCGAGAAGTGCCCAATTATAATATAAACTTGCACCATTACAAATCTATCACATTTATTGAGTGTTATGTATTGGGATAGAAACTTTTTAACCAGGTGTAGCTAGTCCACACCCTATATACTAGCTACATAATATTATAAAGAATTTGTTTCACTTCTTGATGAAAAGCTCTGTTACTCTGTTACTATTAACTATTAACTATTAACTATACTTGTTTCTTGTGATCGTGTTTATTGTTTTTTAGGATTAAAACATTCCAAGATCATTGCATCCCCCCTGATCTTTCCATTTATCTTTACCCCACGCTAAATCTACCTACCTATTGATAAGTTTAGAAGTAGGTATCTTCACGGCCCACCCCCTTGATCAAATATGAAATAACATTTTCAGGTTGTAGGAGCACTCCTTAATATCCTTATCTTAAACCTGACTATAAACCACGGCATGTCACATCAGCATGTCCAGTGGATAATCGCTGCTTTCCTCGTGGCAGGCTTTATCAATTCAACTTTCTTCAAGGTGAGCTCGCAAATATAGAAAATTTACGTTTTTTGTTGATGCTTCTTTAAATGATAAATTGACAATATTATTATTGCGTGGTCACTGGTCGGTCACCATCAAATTTGCCAAAGTAAATTTCACATTTCAGTTTCGTGGCTGCCCTTGCGTTAGACGAGAAGAAACAAGCAGAGAATATGGCTACTCCTCAGTACCTTACAAAGAATAAACATTCTTTTATTGCATGATTCATTTTCATCTAGCTGCGTTTGAAGTCTTCAAATGTTTTGGTCATATTTTCAGTTCTTGACTGTAAAATTGCAGATGTGTCCCGATAAAAAGTCATTAAATCAGAGAAGATTTGTAAAGACGAAGAGTTTGATCTTTGTAATTGTATTAAATGTTATTGTTATAATAATATGTTAACAGTGACCATGTTTTCAATCTTGTTGAATTGATCGGACCTGAATTTCAAATTATGTCGATGTAAAATATTTGACGCAAGAGTTGTAAAATTTTATTGTTGAAGAGTGCGGGCATTCTCAGATGATTTTTTCTTTTAACGGAGCTTGTTTCCTTTCATTTTGATTTGAATTTGTTTGATTATTGTTACACTTTGCCGTATGTTATTTCAATTTTTAATGTGAAATGTATTGTATAAGTTTGGTTTCAAGTTCACTAACAAACCTATTTTATTTAGTTGGACTGCTATCATAAAGGTGATGACAAAATATGTCTTACCTCCTAGCCTTGTAATCGTATTATACGTGGCACTGATTTGGTCACTGTACACTCGGCTAGCTGCTCAAGTGACCAAATTATCCATCCATAATAAACTAACTTGTAACTAATTGTTAATGGAACATTCCGTCTAAAATTAGAGTTTTGACCAGGGAAAGTTAATTTTTGAAAATCTTTCGAGATTTTGACTTCTTGGTTTCGTTGTTAGAATAATGAGATAAACGAGTAAAAATCTGTAGTAAAGGGGCGCAAAGGCGCTTTATCGAACTTGAAGAACAAACAATAGTTTGGTTTGTATAATACTGCATAGTTTACCATACAATTACAATAAAAAGTGATATTTAAAAATCTGGGTTGCCCTGTGCTGCGAAACAATTTGGTGGTTAAAAGAAATATATTAGGTTATACATTATATTATTAATAAAAATCATGGAAATACATTCAAATTTCATACAATGGACTTGAAATATAATCAATAATAATGATAAATAAATATTTGATCTGTTAGAGTTGGACACCATGTTGCATGTAAAAGGTATAATATTGTATACAGTCTGAATATAAAAGTGCCAACTCAAAGAGGAATGAAACTGATAGAACTGTCAGTATCATTCAAACTGTCCTTCTTGTCTCTCAAGTCTCTTAAATCCAAGGATAGATCGGGGTCTGGCAAAGAGTCATCATCCTCTGATACAACCACCAAACTGAACTCCTTATCTGTAACTCTCTTCTTCTTTGTACGATTCGGTCTTGTTTTAGACTTAAACTCGCTCGTTCGCTCGATTTTACTAGGAAGAAGACTAGAAGATGAAACTTTATCCACAAAGTCTATCAAACAATCCTTTCCGACAGGTTCCCCTATTTTAGCAATTTCTGAATCTAAATTCGATCCGGCAGGGTCAGTTTCTTCACGGTTTTGGATTAAACTTCCTACCGAAGTAGAGCTCTCACCTCCAATCGGGTCCTCCTTGGCTAACTTTACTCCTCCAGAGCGTGGTTTAACTGCGGGGCCTGCTAGCCTCCTCTTACTATCAGCACACCATACTTTGTGAGAATTCTTCAGTCTGATTACAGGGCTGACCTTTCTCAGCGTGGGCGCACTGACCGGGCTTGCGCTTACTGATTTGACTTCTTTATTTTTATTAGTTAAAGAACGGCCCCTTTCTTTGTTAGGGAAGGTCGCCGCTCCAGTAGTTTTTCTGGGGCGTCTCTCTTTCTTTGTAGTCTTCACAGGGGAGACTATCCTTTCACTTTTGCTTCTACTAACCTTGGTAGCTTTCCTTACTACTTTAGGTGACATTCTGTCTATATAAATTCGGTCATATTTGTGGGCCTTCTTTCTATCTAGAGCGGTCTTATTTGGCATGCAAGGGAGCTTTGATTCTGATGGAATTGGTGCAAGGAATTCAGGTCTTTTCTCAGCAAGTACTGTTTCAAGTTGGACCGTTTCAAGGTCAACTTTCACTTTCTTTATCTCACCAACATTCTCCTTCATCTTACCAGTCCCGTACGCCGGGCTGAATGGACACATTCTCTTTCTTTCACTTCTCGTCATTATCTTCACTTTATCTAGAGATTTTTTCTTAAAGTTTGAACTTGAGGTTGGTCCTGATGGCTTGGGGCTTTTTTGTTTTCTCTTGAGTACTCTTGTTTGAGGGTGCCCCGCATTTATACTCTTAACTTTTGTTTTCTTAAGCTGTTTATCTTTTTCTTCCGACATATTCCTATCTGTACCGGTTTCCGTCTCCATTGCTTTTGCAGCATCCAAGAGCTCCATATCATCCAATAGCATTCCTAGGTTTCGAGAGGTGGTGGACTGAACGCTCTCTAAAGTCTCAGGAAGCGGCTCTTCCAGGGTTTTGCAAGGAGCTGCAGCATCAGGTTCCCGCTCTGATTCCAGGAGCTCCATATCATCCAATAGCATTCCTAGGTTTCGAGAGGTGGTGGACTGAACGCTTTCTAAAGTCTCAGGAAGCGGCTCTTCCAAGGTTTTGCAAGGAGCTGCAGTATCAAGTTCCCGCTCTGATTCCAGAGCTCCATATCATCCAATAGCATTCCTAGGTTTCGAGAGGTGGTGGACTGAACGCTTTCTAAAGTCTCAGGAAGCGGCTCTTCCAGGGTTTTGCAAGGAGCTGCAGCATCAGGTTCCCGCTCTGATGCCACTGGCGGCTTCTGCTGGACTGTGTCGTGACTATCCCCCTGATTTCCTACATTATTTGGAAGATATTTTGTAACGATCTCTTCGATCATAGCCTTCATGTTAGCCTCAGATTGATCAGAGTTAGATACTGCCTCAACTGATGTACTAGGACCTGGGTTGCGGGTTGTCTGCTCTCCAAACAGACGGTCTCCGGAGGATGAGACTGGTTCCCCAGAGGATGAGACTGGTTCCTCGCTATGTTTAGATGTGGAGCTTGTTGATCGGCTGCGGGTTTTTAAGCGGGAGATATCTTGTGCTTGCCTGGAGGTAGATTGCCTTGCTCTTTGCTCAGGGGCGCGGATTTGAAAAGGAGGAATATCTGAGCTTGTAACATCTTGAGGGGTACCAGAGCGGATTGGACTGCTAGCCTGAGAACACATAATTTGATTAATGCGTAGATTGGAATAATTGAAACATATTGTACACAAATTATGTGGGAAGGCAAGAAACTGACATGTTAGAAAATTAACTTAACAATTATTAAACATCGAATGCTCCAAACAATGCAAGGTGGTTTATGTCTAGGAAACTGTAAACAAAGGAAGCAGTTAAGACAACTATAAAATATAAATTACCAACCTGATCCAGAAATATATCCTCCACGAGATGGGAGTCGTGTTGGGTTAGAGATTCCACCTCCTCCAGGACAATTGAACAGTCCTCCGGCGAGATATTGTACCTCATATTGCACTCATTTCCCTTTCTAGCTGGGTATCCTTTAACTTTCTCCCATTGCTCTTCCAGCTGAGTCCTGGAGGAAGTTTAGTTTCATTCTCAAGGGGTTCTCTTCGTGATGTTAGCACATATTGTTTTACCAACAGACATTAAATAGGATGGCAGGTAATCACGTATCTACCAAGGTTAAATTAACTATTTAACTGGGTTGGGTCAGGTTAAATTAAGGTACAGTGATGCCTTTACTTGAATCTTGCATAGCATTTGGTGAGTGTAGTTTCCAAAGAATCTTTTGTTTTTTTCTGCTCTTCAATCCACAACTGGTCAATTGAATCACTGTGACTCTTCTGAAATAATAACGAATCATAAGACTTGAAAGACTCTACTAGCTCTACTATCTAGACCCAGCTAGACAAATCTACAATGATAGGGTAGCTAAAATGTATAAATCATGACGTGGAAAATGTTAATCCACTTAGTATAGGGGTTGTTCACATATTACGTAATCAGCCAGGGGGGGGGGGGGGGGGTGGTTCTCAAATGATAACGGTTGAGTACAATTTTTTAATTCGAATTTCATTCAGTTTCACTTTGATAGCGATTCAAGATTCAACTCGCATCAACGAACCATTTATTACCCAATGGGGCATAGTGGGACATAGTGCAGCAAGATTTGCTCATAGATCATATTTCTCTTTAACTTACCCCACGTGACGAAGTAAAGTGCAGCAAGAGTTGCTCACATTTATCTTGAACTTTACCCTTGGTATCAGCAAACATCTCATTGTAATTGTGCTTATGTTTCTGAAACAGAGCAGGGTCATAAAATGTTACAATTTATTCCAAGATATGAACTGTGGATGCGTCCATCAAATTAGAGCAATTGAGAAAAGTGGCACATCAAAATTGGGATAGTTTGAGATCTAGATTCTAGAAATGCAAAATGGTTCTGGAGAAATTTCATCGTTCATTTTGAGAGATACATGAATTATTGGACAATGGACTGTTCTATCGATTTTTTTCTTTTTGTGGACCCATCACCCAATGGAACTCCCAATGGAACTGCCATTTCGAAGATAGACGACATGATATCATTACTGATTACATGCGTGCGCAAGTCATGCCGCACGCATGTGCAGCATATGCTGCTGGTGCGGCCGGCCGGCAGTCTAGTGCGCGCTCGCTGCTCGATCAATTTACTGATCGAGCAAATTTGGTCATCATTTATCCATTCGGCGTTCGCCGCCGCTCTCATAACAACATTGAAGTTACATCCGGTAGAACTTGTTTTTATGTTCACATAAATTTCAGGGGTAACCCAGGGAAAATATGTTATAAATATAGTTTTTCTAGTTTCCTGAATTACAGGAAATCGAAGATAATGTCATTATTTTGCATGACTATAATTACTGCGAGACTTTTCGTTCCCCACTTCTAATTTAAAATATAAATTTACTCAAGTAATTGTATAAAGAACAGGTTTAATTCGTTTTCTAGATCGGCTTAACTTTTCCGTCTAAATTTTTAGCAAAATTGCTGCTGCAAAACAATAAAATTTGATTTCGTCAAGTCGTGCTGTTTGTATCAATAAAGAGTTTGTAGATTGTGTGCGGCATGAACATAGTAAGACGGTAAAACTTTGCCCCAGAGGCCCCGAGGTACTTTTTTATCGGGCCCAGAAAATTCATTCCACGATCCTGAGTAAATAAGATTCAAATGTAAATAAAAAAGTTACTAAGAAAGATGAAGGGGACACTACTTTAAAAACCTACCCGGAAATGCCGTTGACAAAGATCCTGGTCTTTAGAAAATACTCGTGAGATGGCACCTTTATCTGTTATCTGCTTTCCATTACACAGGAACCACTGAGTAAGATCAAGATAAGAGATTTTAGTGAAATAGTTAGGAAATATCTGAATTAGAAGATTAGAAATGAGACTTCAGAAGTTGTCTGATAGTATTAGTATGTAAAGAATTCATCTCAGTCATCCAAAACCTTGAAATGGGGGAAGGTTTGAGAGTCTTTAAACATTGTGTAAGGTACTAAGATATAATATTTAATTAATTGACTAAACATTTTTAGTGTATTTCCCGGCACCACTGTCAATATGCTTTGACTGCCGTGTTTTGGATCACCCAGAATAGCTTTTAGAAATGTTTTACAAAGTTTTTCTCACTCCAGCTGCAGTCTGGTAGTGTTGAGTTTCATGAATATTTCTCCATAAATTATGTTGTTGCCTCATTGTAGATATTTTGGTCTTGTGTAAATGTAATTGTAATACATTGACGTACAATTTATTTGAATTTTGTAATGAAAATTTAGCAGTATACAATATAATACATACCAGGTATTTTAACTGGTTGATAACGATAAGAAAGTACTCCGGATCAGTAATAAAACAGAGCGCACTGAACCACTCCTCCTCTAGGTTAAGAGCTTGGACTAACTTGTTTGCAATTGTTATCCGCATAGGCACTGGCACGTTTACATCTGAAACAATACATCAGATAACGCAGTGCAATACTGTATTTGAGTACTTGGTGTGAGATAAAATGGCTGTAAATAATAAAAGTGGATATTCTTATCATTGGAGCAAGTCGTCACGGCTATTAGAATTGTCATTTTAAAATATGGTGAGAAAATGTTAACCTAGCCTTCCCGCCTAAATTTGACCCGCTAAGTAATGCAAATTCTGCATAATATATATAATATTATTTTCCGTAGAATAGATGTACATCAATTGAGCGTGAGATTCAATAAAATCACCTGATTATGCAGGCTACATATTACATGTGACCTAAACATGTGACCTAAATATAAATGGAAGACTTATTTTTCGTAAAGACTTGAAGGGGCCATCACTTCTTTTGACCACTCCTGATCCCACAGCGAGGTAAATTTTCTCGTAATAAGGTTAACATATTATGTATAATATAATATTTATAAATAATATAATGAAAATCACCTCATGTTATTTGTACTAACCTGCCAGTTTCTCTACCGTCCAGTCTGCACGCAGCAGGAGGTGCTCCCCAATACAATGCAATATCATACCGTCATTATAACAAGCTCCTTCAGTGAGACGATAGTCGATTATAATAATAAAATAATAATCGCAAAATTATATTAGAATTATTTTCGGTATCAGTAGTGAAGTATTTCTAGACAAACAGTATCAATATTATCATGACGGCTATATCAGGAGATTATTACAAATTTAATCTGAATGAACTACACAGTATTGAAAGCGGATAAAAATAATTTTGTGGAAATGATGTGAAATACAAGCTTTGTGGTCCGTTCAATTGATGAAATTCGATACTCTAAAATGCAAATCCCGTGAGAAATTACACTGCCAACTTTCCAAATACGTACTTTTCTTAGAGACCACTACTGGTGACTGGTGAGGAGGTGACGATTTAATATCTCTTCAACAAAAACGCTGTTTAAGCAGTACAGACCATTCTCTCATGCAGGGCTATTAAATCACCTCCCCATCGATAACAACAATGGGTATAACATTTTTCTTGTATCTTCATATCCACGATTATTTTTAGTTTTTTAACAGAATAATATAACTATACACAGATAACGTGACATTTAACAGTCATAGAGTTCACTATGCAGCTCTATCTCAAGTCATATCTAGTTGAAACCTGTGCTCATAATTTAAACTTCCGGTTAAAATCAGTAATTCAGAATTAAACTTTATTCCAATTTCGAGTAATATTTGTTGGAAATGATAAATTAATGAACCAGTTTATGAATGATTTCATGTTTCAACATGTCATTTATTAGCACATCAAACAGTAATTAACCACGAATTCAGAGACAATATGTCATTTATTAGCAAAACAAACAGTAATTAACCATGATTTCGGAGACAATATGTCATATAATGGAAAAGCAAACAGTAATTAACATCTGTTTAATTCAATCGCACTCTTCCCAGACTTACTTCAGTGAAACAGCTCTGCAATGTTTAAAATAAGTGCATCTTTTGGTTTTAAATAACTCAAAAACTTAAAAACTGAATTTAATTCCAAACCAATGCAATGGACCTGTCCAATGTGTTCAATTGACAGTGATATTTGCTAAAATGAAGTTAAATGGCAAATATCAGAAGTATCTGTCAGCCCATTGAACCATGCAAACACAAACTGTGTGTCAGTAATCAACAAAAAACAAGGCGGCGGTAATTTAACAAATAATAAGTAACGTAAAAAAGGTATATATTCGTTAGCATTCAGCTTAAAAGAGGGAAGTTACACAAGATATACATAAATAGAACATTTAGTCAAAATAAACCTCAGTTTCTCTTACATTCCAATGGGAATTGCAACTCGCGTAGATCAAGAATATGAGTTGAGAAACATGAATTTTAAAATACTGTAAACGATATTTTATAATCAAATATGAAAAGTCCAATTTTAAAGTTTATTCCTTTCGTAAGAATCTGTACTTAATATAATCATCCGTTGAGTTGTCCATTGTAGTTTCCTTTGTACTTTCCAGTCTCGTTTTGCTTAATCCCTCCAATAACCTCCTCTAAAAACTCCCACAGTGTCGTCCCTGAAGTTAGTTTTAATATACAGTTTTAAAACCTTTGCACACAACTATATGTACACAATCAAAGCTTATGATCTGGAAGCCAGAATGATGAGCACTAATCGTAAGGTTGATGGCAGTTAAATATGTTACAATATATTAATGAACAAACCTGTCACAAAGTCGTTATCAACAAGACATATGAGGTAGAGATCATCTACTATATCTTCTAACACTCTCCTCGATTGACCTTCGTACAGTTGTCCTGGTATATGATAATTAATATCATATTTAACGATACAATTAACAGTACCAAACCAGCACTGTGTTGAGTCAAGAATCTCTTATATCTCCCCCGCCGGCCGCCACCTATCAGACATCAGTACTATTATAGAATGAGGAAATAATATTACTCACCCCACTTTTCGATCCACAAAGCAAAGGCCTCGTCCTTCCATATAAGGAAGGTTTTGTAGTCTGCAATAGTGGGCTGAACAATCTCTCTGCCAGGGAACACACCCCATGTCAGAGCAATGGGGGAGTTCTTCTTGTAGTTAGTGTAGCTGTAAATATTTAACATATTTGTAAAGATTCAGATGTAAAGATAACATATTTAAAATAATATATGATATATTAAGGTTGAATTTTTATGTATTGGACCATTGGTGCCTTTAACTGTATTTTTCATGGCTTGCTAGCCGCTAGGTTAATGTGAATCTATTTTAAACTGTATTTTTGAAGAAAATTCAACGGCAACAATGTTTCATAACTCTGTGTTTTTAATGTAAAACCAAACTATAAATTCAGCTGGATATCGTGGTTAAATATTCAACATACCTATCAGTTCCTCCTTTGTTCGAAATGGTATAGCTGAGTAACGGGAATTTAGCAATTTTATCGATGATCATCTTTGCATCATCAGATCGAGCAAAGAATTCAATGTATGATTTCTGGTAGATGTAACCGTTCTTTGGACCCCAGCCAAATGTTTGGTCACTGGACTTAGCACAATTCACAGGGGGCTGAGAGTTGATGGTGAACAAATAGTTACTGTTCAGTTTCAGGATCTGTTCCTTGATTAGAACAGTTTCAGGTTGCAACTGTTCATCCACCCAGGGTAGTGACGTCACTTCAAAACCTTGTCTGTTGGGTGTGCCATCTAAGAAAGACATGAAAACATCTCTGATATCATCGATATCCCTTATATCATTACCCCACATTTCAAGAAATTTCGATTTCTTGACAGCTTTGGACATATAGAAGGGATGGTAATCTTCCAAGTCACCAAATGCAGGATTGCTAGAATTTCCCCATCTGCCATTGGGAAATTCATCCCATGTTTTTGTTCTGGTAATGTAGCTCTTTGGCCTCTGAGCCCAATACACTGGCCTCACATCCTCCGTCACCAGACGATCCTCATTCGCTGTGGTTTGCCATGGGAAGAACCTTCTGCTTTTATCTTTACTGTATAAACCGAGCTCTTTGACAATTTTGTTTGGCCCGATCTCTCTGTTAAGGGTGTAGATATGGATTCCTGCAGTGAGGCCCTTTTCAAAAAGTTGTTCCACCAGTTTCACGGTGAACTCAACCCCTATTTCCCTGATTGCTTCATCATCATCTTTTTTTTCCTCTATCATATCTACTAGGTCCTTTGGGACAATAACGTTGCAGGCAAGCTTCTTCAGTTTTCTCAGGGAATCATAATTTTGGATTGGCAGGATCCCAGCTATTATTGGAATGTTTATGTTATGCTTTCTGCAATCATTGATAAACCTTTCATACTTATCACACTCAAACAAAAGCTGAGAAATGATGAAATCAGCCCCAGCATCAACTTTCTGTTTGAGATGAACTAGGGTCTCCTCGTATGTTGAATCTGGATGACCATCCGGATAACCAGCCACTGCAATAACGAAAAGTTCCCCAAATTCTGCTTTTATCCACGTCACAAACTCGGAGGCATATCTAAAATCACTATCAACAGAATTACTATCACCTGAGAGAGCCAGGATGTTTCTTATACCTTGAGAATAAGCATCAGTGAGTATTTCTTTCAGATCCATTTTAGTCAGACGATCACAAGTCACATGTAGTAAAATCTCAATTCCACAATAGTTGACTGCAGTGGTGGCAATAGTCATGGAACTACAAGTTGCACTAGATGCAGAGGACTTTCCTGCATGCCATGTAACATCCATAAAAAGTGGGATACCTTTGTTCATGCGGTCCATCCTGTTGACAAGATTGGCCGCTCCATCTCGAGTTCTAGGAGGAAAAAACTCCAACGAATAGAATCTGTCCCCATTTTGGACTTTTGATTTAATCTTTTCAATGAGATTTTTAGATCCATCTGAATGACAATACTCAAAATTGGTTGGAGACTCACAAAGCTCAAACTTCATGTCACTAGCCTCGGAGTCCACCTCCCATCTCCCATCAAACTGTTCATCAATCAGGTTTCCAAGACAAGGCATTTTCAGCTAACAATGGTATATATTTGATTACAAATTCAATCTAGTAGGAACATGACATTTTACAAAATAAAATTAAAAATTAAAATCTGTAATTGTTAAATTAATACATCAAATTGAACCTTACAAATTCGATTTACTTTTATCCTAGCGTAAAATATTCTTGGAAACATATCTGTTAATAATTGGATTTGTGTTGAACTTAAATTATTTTAGGATTACTACTATTGTGTATTCAATAAAGTAATTATCACTTTTAAATCCTTGTATTCTATATCATAAGCTTGGGGAATGGGGATCCTTCATCCTTCCCAACCGTTTGAACCCTTTAACGCCCAAGTTTAGCTCCGCACTTCAATCAGAAGCCCAGATATCTTGCAATAAGTGCGTCGATCAGTACTCGCGATAGCGTAAGATTAGGGTGTGGCCTAATACCTCAACAACCTGATGTCTAAAGACTTTGAAACCATGCTCTACCCCACTCAATATGATAATTCTGAACATTTTGCTGCCCGAGTTTTGCTCCTAATTTTAATCATAAGCTGAGTAATTTTGATTTTAAGCGCTGCAATCGCTACTCGCGACAGCGTAAAAATAGGTTTTTGCCTAATAACTCATACTCTACCCTACTTAATGTGATGATTTTGAACATTTTAATGCCCAGGATGAGCACCTAACTCAATCAGAAGCCAAGATATCTCGTATTTAGTGTGCAAATAACGAGAAAAAAGGGGTGTGGCCACATACCTCAACAACCTGATGTCTGGTGACTTTAAAATTATGCTCTACCCCCCTAAATGTGATGATTCTGAACGACTTTAAAGTCAAGTTGAGCTTCTAATTCCAATCAGAAGGGGAGTTATTTTGATTTTAAAGTCTCCAAAGCGCCAAAAAAGGGCGTGGTCAATTGCGCAAAACTGCACCATAGCCAAAATTTCTACCCAAGCCAAATTTGTTTCTGATGGGTCCCTTGAGCTATTCCAAGTCTCAAACCCCGGGCGGAAGTTATATAGACGGAAATGTCTTCAGATCCTTGACTAAATAGATTTGTAGTGTTGTAATTAGTTTTATATTTTATCATATGTTTTTTCACACACCGGAGGTATGGGCCCACAGCTATTCCAAGTCTCAAACCCCGGGGCGGAAGTTATATAGACGGGAATGTCTTCAGATCCATGACTAATTACATTTATTGAGAATTATGTAATGTAATGCGATGGAATTATTTTAAGCGGGCATATCCTGTCCAAACCCAGGATACATGACATAAAAGATTCGTTTTAACTTGTTTGCATGAAAAGCATTAATAAGCAAGCAGTATACAGCGAATGAACACATAACGACTTTGACAATTGACAGACGATTAATCGATTGTGAGTTATGACTGACTTAACTGTATGGGTCAACTACTGAAACTGTATTGTATACTATCTTAATCATTATACTGGACATGAGATGACAAAGTAAACCTCCACTTAGAACTTGATTAGTCACGAACAATAGAATCATCAAAAACCAGTACAATAAAACATCTTGATCAATAAATGCCTAGCAGCACCTAACCAGACAGCGGCCGTGTACCTTTTTCGACTCCACTGAGTCCCTGATGGACTTTTGTTTACTTTTTGTAATCAATAATTTGACCAACCTTTCTTTCTCGAAACATAATTCTACTGTACTTCCTTATAGTATTAAGATACAGCAAATGTGAAGATAAGTAAAATACAATTTTGAAATAAAATACAATTTTTATTTTCCACAGAAGAATCAATACATATTGAATTATAAATATCCGATAATTCCATCAATAATCATTAAAAGTTGCTTTGTCAGTTGTAAAATCAAAAACGAAAAGCCGTACGCTGAACGCGCGCGGCATTTTTTTCTGCAGCTGCCTAGCTTGTAGCCGCTAACATCAAAGCCGCCGCGCGCGCCCAGTGCTGGGGTGCATTTTCATTAACAATTAAACTTGGTCAAAGTTATTATTTATATACAATTCCTAAATTAAATCAATAATCATGTTAATATGAGTATTCAACACTACTTGACAACAAATATTTGCCGGCCCATCGACGATTCAGTCGCCGAAACAAAAATCAAATGTTTGCTTTTTCGTTTCGGGAACTATTTGAACTCAGTACTATATGCATTTCATTAATCTATTACTAGATTAATGAAATGTCATGTTGCATTGTAAATATTTAAAGTGTACGATATATTAGGATACAAGGATACAAGGATACAAGGATACAAAAGTGATAATTATTTTATTGAATTCACAATAGTTATAATTCTGAAATAATTTAAGGTTACACAATTCTAGTTATTTGCAAATGTGTAGGGATAAAATAGAAATGTTTTATAATACTATTTTTGAGGTCCTATAGCATTATGCATTGGCCAGTATTTGAGTGGAAATCTGGGCTCTTATAGTAGGCTGTAAAATTTTCGTTCACAGAGAGAATTGAATGGATTGCTCTTGCTGTGGCAGTAAATTTTGTAGGGTCTAGTGTTTTATCGGATAGCAAACCGGCTAGGTCAGTAATATTTTTGGGATGGAAGTTAAATTTTTCTCTAACTGAGGAGTAGAGTAAACAGTCAGTTAGAACATGAATTTCGTCCTCAATAGGCTTAAGCCCCTTGCTGAAAAAGCAAAAAGTGCACCATCGATGTTCTCTTGGTACTAGGGGGGTTTCGTAACGGCCCCTCTCAATGTAAAGATTGTGGCAGCTAATACGAAACCTTGTTAAGCTTTTCCGAGCATCGGGGATCTTAACCACTCCTAAGTATGTTTCTGGTTCAAAATCATGTTTAATTTGATTGTAGAATTCTAATTTAGGTGAGGATGCCTTGGCAGATTTCCAGGTATCCACAAATTCTTCCCTCATGTTGTGACTGATTTGGGTAGAGAGCTTGGATTTTGAAGAGGATGAGTGGGGGAAGTTATATTTGGTGAGAAGATTAGAGATGTTGGTGTACCAAGGAAGGCCCAGCATAATCTGCTCGTGACATGCAGCGGAGAGGAGTTCATTTTCAGTGCTTTCAAGACGACTATAGAAATCTATTGCAAGTTTGCAGGCTTCAAAGAAGAGGGGGTGGCACCCACTTTCGCCCCAGCAGCCTATATTTGATGCTTTTGAATGGACAGACAAGGACCACTTGATAAACTTAAGGTGGAATCTTTCATAGTGGTCTTGTGAGATGTACCTGAGAGTATGCTGGGGGTTGGCTTTGCTATCTGTTTTGGAGAGGTATCTCATGGTTTTTGAGTGAGGACATAAGATTTGGCAGCCATAGAGCAGTATCGGTTTTATTAGAGAGTCAAATAGAATGTTTAGGGAACGGTGAGAGAGGGCATCTTTGACGATATTGCCTTATGATCTAATAGTAAATTTTACAAAGCTGGCTTTGGACTTAGATAAAATTATAATTTATTTTAAAAAACCACGGATAGTTTAAGTTTTAAATTTACGTTGTCGTATAACTATAAACTTACTGAGCCGCGCTCAGCCTGTTATTCCGCCGAATCTATATGTCATGTCAATCATTAATGAACATGATAGCCTGAGGTCTCCAGGTAACTATAAACAAGTTAATCCTGTTTTCAATAATGTGCGGCTTTAGCGGCCAATTATTGACTTATACATAAAATTGAATTTTAAATAGAAATTTGAATATATTAAAATTTAAAATTTTCTGGATAAAAGGATTAAATTTTAAAAATGTTTCTGTTTCACTAAAAATTTATTTCACTAGTTTCCATAAGTAAATTAAAAAGTTTTTGTGCGGCTCCCTTTTCACATCGCAGTTTTGGTTGACGGTTGTTACTCTTCTAAATTTCTTCGAAGTAGTGCCATGGGCGCTGCTTTCTTGTCAAAATATTATGGCCTGATGGCAAGTGTGAGAGAATCAAGCAATAGACTAAAAGCAATAGACTAAAAAGTTAGATAAGGCCGCTATAAGATGTGAAAGATCGACATCATCAATAAAATTGCTATTGGACTTGCATTATTTCACTTGTTTAAAAAATACTGCAGTTTTATGGGTTTGCAGCCAAACAAAACAGTTTTGCACAAACCCTTAATCATACTAATAATTTAAAAATGTGTGTGGGTCTGTGCGTGTGTAATTTCCGAACGGCTTAATCAAGAAAACGGTTAAAGTTGTGGGATCACTGTTTTTTTTTCATCAGCCGGTGGTAAGTGGTTTAATTGATGGTTTTGTACCCCAAATGTGATACTAAGGTGTCTCAATTTTCTCCCCTCTCTCAAACTCTTTCTCTCTCTCTCTCACTCTCTCATCCCATTTACAGCTCCTCTAAATACAGCTTTGGTTCATAATAAGGTAATTCGGTAGTAGAACCAGGAGCCGCAAGATTGCCTATTAAGTATTTCTATTGGATAAGTGTTGGGTGCTCGAAATTTAATTAACTTTATTGCAGCCGGTTTCGACTGAGTTAGTTCATGATTTTACACTGTTTAAACTTTTGCACCGTCTGTACGGTGCAAAAGTATGGCAAAAGTATACCAAAGTATGGCACGTCTTATTTCGACAATATCAACTGGCTAACTAATCAATGTACTCTTATCCGGATCTATGCGCTAGTGTTCTCTATAAAGCTCCCATATAAGCTACCACTGAGCTCAACATCAGTCGCATAACTTGCCCATCAAGCATTTTTCTCATAAGCATTTTAAAGAAATCAGCAAAGCGTGTAATGATAGAACTACAAAGCTCAAGGAACAATGAAGAATGGCCACCTTTTCTGTTACATAATTTACCAGGGCTACACAAATCAACAAGATCAGGCGCTCAACAAATCAACTGCCGTGAAATACCTAAAGAATAAGTAAAACTATACGATTAGCACACTAGTCACTATAAACCATATGCCACATTTTTCACTCCCATTCACTTTCATATAGATAGCGCTAGCAGATGCTGATACTTCTTTTGCTGATACTTCTTTTAACTTCAAACAGAGCACTATACTGATACAGAGCACTATACTATCGACTCGGCACTGCCCACTAATCGTTAATCCAACACAAGTAGCTCATAAAAGAATGTGTGTGTGTGTGTGTGTGTGTGTGTGATCATCTGTCGTATCAAATCAAACTATTCGTCACTATGTTAATAAATCATAATATGCAAGTTTTGGTTATTTTTAAATGAATAAACGATGAAGGTTACATCATAATTTTCAATTCTTATATTCACGTATATTAAATGAAATTATATTGTTATCATGTATCATATGATTTTGTGAATATTGGCCGGTGTTCCAAAAACCGGTCCCCAAACAAACATACTTTTGCAATTCAACTGCAATAATGAAGTCCTGGTTGTAGGCACAGGTTACACTAGTAGACCATCATCCCAAACTTAATGTCAATCCTGAAAATGTCAATCCTTGCCCTACCCAGCTTGCAGTGGTCCAATACTTAATAGGCAACGATTTGATACACGTTGCGTCATATAATATGTGGCTGCAAAAAGAGGTATACATTGTGTATCTCGTGCGGTGACAAAAAGCATACACATTTTTTGATGCATGTCGCGGCCCTGTAGTGCATCAGGTAATTATAACTAAGACTGCAACAAAGTCTCATACCATCCTGAGTCAACTGCCTAATTGGTCACTAGGCAAAATTTCCATCAAATCTGTTCAATTTCTGGTTAGGTCAGAAATTTTCATCTTTGAAAATGGGACAGAAGATGAAAAATATGAATTTTTGTTTTGTTAAGCTTTCTGTAGAGAGCTTCCTCCTACCTGAATCATACTTCCAGCACCTCAATTGTGTCATATGCCACCTATAGTTGACTGACTAATTGTTTACTGCAGAGAAATTCAGTCAAAAGTGTGAAATTTCGGTCCTGGAAATTTCATCTTCAAAAACTGAAAATGGGACAGAGAAGGGGACAATATGATTGTTCCATTTTGTCCAGGATTTTGACTTTCAGTAGCTCAATTTGGTCTCATACCATCCTGAGTCAACTGACTAATTGGTCGAAGTTTTGTGGCACAGTTGAACTTGTTTTGCACTGTCATCTTCTTCATTCCTTCAATATATTATCCTGAACTTGATCATCAATGATTATATTTATTTAAAAACAATTTTGTAATACATTTCACTGTTGTGGTTCATAAATACTATTTTGGTGCACTAAAAACTTCCATTACATTATACATGTTTATCACTTTCATTGTCAAATTATCACATCATTATATAACATTATAGGAAACATTATTCAACTGATTGAACAATGGAAGTACCCCACAATCAAGGCGCAAGAAAATCAGTTGTACCTGGTGGTGCTACTCTTGATAAAAAGACTTTGGATAAACTATTGAATCAGCGCATAAGTGGTTCAGGTAAGAATCCAGAAGCCCTTGTTGATCAGTTGCATAGTCTTTCGGTGCGTCCATCTGGAGACGGTATTGTTCCAAAAACAAAGTACCAACTAGAAAAAAATAGTCTGAAGTCTACCGAACAAAGTGTCAGTCCAAACATTCATCAAGCACTGTTGGACTCATCCTGTGTTTTCAGATCTAAAACCGCCATACCTCATGGTTTACTGTTTGATTTGCATGAAGAAGTTTATCAAATTATTGAATTCCTGCTTGATGAGTACAGGAAGTTCTCCAAAGGCTGCATGTGTGGAAAATGTTGCATGTGCAGCAGGTCAGCTGATGGTGGTGAGATGGAAGAGATGTTGGGAGATGCTCAAGAAGCTTACAACTTTATTGCTAAATATATTGGTAGAGATTGTGAGGCTGATGACGTACAAGAACATTCCACTAATAGGATTTATGCTGATGCTAAATTAGGCATATCTCATGAAATTGAAATACCTGAAGACGCAGATGAAATACAGGAAACAGTGTAGTCACAGTGACACAGTAACGCAGTGACACAGTGACACACTGACACAGTGACACACTGACACAGTGACACAGTGACACACTGACACAGTGACACAGTACAGTGACACAGTGACACAGTGACACAGTGACACAGTGACACAGTGACACAGTGACGCAGTAACACAGTGACACAGTAACACAGTGAAGCAGTGAAGAAGTGACACAGTGACACAGTGACACAGTGAAGCAGTGACAGAGTGTAGTTAGGATCGGACCCATATCCAAAAACCCGCATTCTCGCATTCTAAGAATGTAGGAAATTTTTAAAAGTAGGAAATTTTTGACAAAAAGTAGGAAATTCGAGAGCCAACTCTGAGAATTTTCGATAATATTTCAGTAGGAATTTAAATGAAAGAGCAGACTAAAAGTTGCTGGACCGTTATTTAAATGTCCTCAGTCAGGGATCCACTGATCCAGTCTATCAAATTTCGTTTCACAGACCAAAGTTTGTTGCTATTAGCTACAAAATCTGTGCATCAAGTAACCACTAACCAGATGCTAATTATTGGGGCATTTTCGCGTACACGACATAAATAGTTGTCATTATTACTTTATTAACATAATTTACTATCTACTTATCTAGTCTATGAAACCGGATATGTCTACAGTGTCACCCGATATCTGTATTGGCAAGCAGTAGCATATACACATCACGTCTTCAATGTGTGTATCACACTGCACACACCCAGCCCAAATTCGTGTGGCATGAGAAAATATCAGAAAAACAGGGCGTTTTAACTAATCTGTACGATGATGCTAGAATGGGCGTGAGAATTGGACTTTTTCTAGTTTTTTAATTAGTCACTCTGCCTGCTTGCTTTTGTTGCTTACATTGGGTTGTTGAACTTCCTATTAATCATGAATCGTCCAAAGTTCAAGTCTAAATCCGAGGTCCAATGCGGTATATGCAAAGAAGTTTGTACTCGAGCCGATAATCTAAAAGTTCATTTTAAGAGGTGTCACCCAGGGCATCAGCCCTATGAATTCATACCGAATCAACCTAAGTTGAGGTAGCTATCACATTAAGACATTAATCGGGTGGAAATCATTTTTGCATGAATTATCTTTACATGCTCCTGATCCTAGTTAGGTATCACTCTAAACATGCATAATGCATAAGAATTCTTTGTTGCGTTTCCTATCTTCTTTAAATAGTAAATACTAATAGTCATTATTATATTTTTGGAAAATTTAAATTCCTTGTTTCTTGAATATTTGGTCTCATACTTGCTTCCTTCTCCAAATTCCCTTAACCCTGTATTAGTTTATAGCTTGAAAGCAGAAAGTGATGGTAGTGATGGTAGTGATGGTAGTAGATGAGAAAACATTTTTGCCAAAATTATAAACTCTTGATAATTCATGCTGTCTCCTATTTCGTGCTTTAGTTAAGCCAAGTGTTTAGGGATTCTAGAATCCAGACAATTTATCCCAATAAAAATTGAAATCAGAAAATAGTATGCTAAAATCGTTCTCCATTGTCAGATTCGTTCCAGGAGGCCAAATCTAGTTTAAATTTCCAAAATTTTCGGGGGCTTCGCCCCCAAAAGTAACCTAGGATTATCTATTAAAAAGCATTCCGGGCCCTAAAAAAGTAAAATTGAGAATCTGGAATCCGCCATGAAAAATCTTTGAACCGCGCGAATACAAAGACTTTTTATGCGAGTGAAGCGAGCGGGCCACAGAAAACGAAAAAATTGAGAATGTAGGAAATTAAAAAGTTTTTGGATATGGGGGATCGGAAAACAGAGCACCTATTAATTCCCATCCTGTCATTGCAATGAACGTTTGAACATGATTTTCACTCATTACATTCAAACTTTATTTCCTATTGAAATATAAACTACACAATGCTCTTGATGTAATAATGTAACAATTTATATTTTAATTTATCAACAGGCAGTCATTTCACTCAATCAAAATTCAATCATGCCATTGCAGTCAGAGATCAATTTAGATTAAATACACAATGCATTCTACATCTATAGATCTATTCTAATACATCGTTTTTACTTTAAATATTTTTTGATGCTTGTGCCATCCAATGATCATATCTAACCAAATCCCACAATTTCAGTAACATGCCAGAAACAATTCCATTCTCTGCCCAAAGAATAAGGGAAGGTCCATTCCACTTCCCACCCCCACCACCGACAGATCCTAACTTACTGTTCAAGAGTCTGTACAAACTGATGAATTATCTTACCGTCGAGTGGTGTGGTGGTGACTTACCTGCCCATTTGGGCTTTGCTTTTGGCTCAGAATCACCAGATCTAGCAGACCAGTGTTTTGACCTTTGCATGGCCATTTCCAACACCACTGTTCACATCAAGAAACAGAGGCTTGATGAGGTATTTGCGGAGTGCCATGTTCTTCATCCGTTTCTAGATGTCAGCGTAACATCTCCATCTCTGATGATATACGGGTCTCTCTCTTCCAACATCAGACATTATCACAAACTGTGGGTAACACCGCGCGGAGTTCTTGTTAACGAACAGCCCATGCTTTCCAGGGAGATATCCAACACATCTGTCTTGTATATTAACATTCACTTCAGATATAACATAAAGCCAACGGAAATAAAAGATTTGATGTGTTATTATTTGACACGACTGAACATTGGCTGCCGTGAGAATTTGGTAATTGACATGAAGTTTGAACATGGACCACGTTACTTTTTCCCTCGATACCCAAAAGCAGGAAATTCAGATCTTACCCGTTCAAATGGTGCTGTTTTCGTGAAAGTGTGCAAAAATTGCCAATCTTGTCGGATCCAATCTACAAAAGCCAGAGAGATTACCATACAAGATCAGAAACTGAATGTAAGAATCTGCACACGTCAGTGTTTTGGAAGTGAATACGGCAGACCATGTACTGACAAACGATTTAAAGGTAAACTCACTATTCTGGGTCCTGGTGGAATTCCCGTACTTTACTTATCAGATACTGATTTCTACAGCCAGTTTAATAAGCTTGTACAGAAGTGGCCTTGCATGTCCGACAATCAAACCCACCTTATTTTGATATTTGAGTGTCCAGTGTCGAGGAAGAACATCCATCAGATCATGACACTTCTCCATGACACCTGTTTCCAGGTTTTCAGCAAATACCAAACCTCCTTCAAAACTTCTGTAACTCAACTTCTTGGTAGTAGATCATCTGGCTCGAGTAGCACGACTGTAGATCTGGTTGCAGCTAGCAGAAATCTAGCCAGAGGCATCTCGGAAATCGTGGAGCTCAGTAAAAATGAAGACTTCAAAAAAACTGTGAAAGATTTGCTCCCTTACGACACCATGGAGACGCTCCAAGAATCTATACTGAACAAATCTCGTCAGTTTGGTATTCAAGAACCTCGTATAATTGAGGGAGCTGATGATGGTGAACCGTTTGCCAAGCGGAGAAAGTTGAAACCCTCTCCTACTCAAGAAGTACAGGAAATACCTGGTGTTTCTGTGGGAGGGTTCTGGTTTACTGTGACCGGCGAGGAGTCTATAGGGAAGGAGCAAGGGAAGGAGACAAGAACTGAGGGATTGGAGACAAGAACTTTAACTGAGGGATTGGAGACAAGGACTGAGGATTTGGAGACAAGGACTGAGGATTTGGAGACAAGGACTGAGGATCTGGACGATTTTCAGTCCCTGCAATGACAACACGATTGAAAGGTCAGATGATATGCTTAACAAAATGATGATATTAGTGTAAATAGGCAATATCGAAATATTTGTTGCCAATGTTGTTGCTTTTATTCAATGCTAATGAAATGTTTGTTTTTTGTGAAAAGTACCAATCGTGTAGTTATATCATTATTGTGTAAAAACATAATCAGAATTGATTAATGAACGACTTAAAATCAATCATAATTACAATCATTCGTCATGACTTTATTATTTTGTAATTTTTTCGATGTTTGCTTAATCGTTCAGCTGATAATGCGCTTGGTATGGATGATAAGTTTTTAGCTTCGTTTGAATACTGTTAATTATTACAATTAACAATGTGCCCAAGGAATCGTTCACATATCACGTGACCCAGATTTTAAAACCATAATTTACATCACATTAAAGCCATCTTGACCGTAAAATGTGAACGGTCCCTCAACAGAATTTCAGTTTCAATGTTTTTTTCTTTGAAAACACATTTGAGAGAACTTGTATACATTATAAATAACACTTGCAAATCGATTACGAAATACATATGCCTTAATCTTTTTGAGTTTAATTTTCTTTCCAAACTGGTCTGAATGGTATACAAATTATTACTGGGAAAAATTCGTTGAAGATTTTTTTCATTCAGTTGATAAATTTTCGGTTTGATTGCAACAAATTGCTCTAAAATTAAGGGTTTAAAGGCTAAAAGGGCAAATATATTGAGGAACATAATGAGGAATAGAACAAGAGATATTTTAAAGTACTCAGATTAAATCTATGATATCTCAAGAACGGAACATCCTATTTGAACATATTAAGATAATTCAGTTCTATGAAATATCAAGATGTGTTTTTTGACCGCCAACAATCCTTAATTCATTGGATCGCTATTTTATTCTATGTTTGAAACTCTAAATTAATGGTTACCTGTGATTTTTCTTCGACTCAGCAATTGTGCTTTTTCAACTCGATAACATAAAATTATGAGATCTAAAACAATTCTCATCAATTAATTGTTGATCTGATTTTCCTTGCTTTTTGTTTGTTTAAACCTGATTCCACACTAACGATCAACTTCAGTGGGGTCATGGCATCTGCCACTCCAGAGAAGAAAATGGCATCTTTTAAGAATCGTAAAGCCAGTGTCATGACTCTGAGGTTTGTACACTTTTTTGTTATTTTGATCGTTAATCGGTAAAAAAGGGGGTTACTTACTTTCATATTAAGAAGCAATTTGGTGACTTTTTATGTCGGTTTAAATAAATATTTTACAATAAAGAATTGGAGATTATTACCATACGTTCTGTATAAGACATAAGTTAAAGTTAACTTTGCTAATCAGTTGTGAACAATGGAAATGTACCTTGCCAGCTAAAGTGCTAAACAGTGTGCGCGCGGGCGTAATAGGTCTTCTAGTAAATTCACAGGAAGGCGCGGACACCATTTTAAGGAGTTGAGTTTTGGCGCGCAAATTTCGCCGAGCGCAGCGCAGCTAGCTAGCTCAGCTAGCTCAATTAATTAGTACGTAGAATTGTAGATTTTGGAGCAGACGTATGCAGGCGTTTCCTACATCTCAAGACAGTAGCCAATACTGTGGCCGATGAGCGCAGAGAGAGGCTTGCTGCCGTCTCGCCCAATAACCTTGGCGATGTTAAGTACAGTAGTAATAGCTAGAGACAGATGGGCATTGGGCACCAGAATGAGTTACCCGCATGTATAAGCCATAGCTCCGATACTAGTCCTTGATAGATCTTTATCAAGCTATCGCATTACTCACACTTATACTCTAATATATAGTGTACTCGTTGTAGCAATTATATACTACATGTACAACTCTGAACATAATAACAAGAGAATGGCTAATAAAGTGTTTACGGTGTCCCAATGTGGATAGAGGCATTGTCATGACTCTAATACGACAAACTAGTCTCAGACAATTCATTGGCGTGTTTTAAATGTTCATTGTATATATTATTACATTCAACAGTACGGAGAACTTTGTAAACGGTTCATTAAAGGTAGTCTGTTTTATAGACATCTTAAATCTTGAGCGATAGTTGTCGGCCACATGGTGGCACGAGTTTACACTCTATGTATAATGGGCCAGTATGTAGTCAGCAGTCAATTGTAGTCTGGTATCAGGCTCGTTGTTTATCTGAACCCGCTACATTTTTGTTTCTTTGCCAATGATGTTCAATAGACACAGTTTTAAAGCTGCGGAGGTATAATTCTACACAGCGTGATCTTTGAGTATAATTTTGTTTAATTTGCACTGAAGGATGCTGAGTCATTATTTTATCATGCAGCGTTCTGTAAATTCATTACAGGTATATGGTGTAGGTATGTGCTTTTTTGTAGATCGGAATGCGATTAGCTCCGATATGCGTTTAGAGCACAGACAAATCTGATTATTTATGATCACATTGCTATTATCACATTCCTCGATAGTTTACCTTATCTTATACATTGGTAAATGATTAGATTTCAGGTTAGATAGTCTGAAAGTACAGCAATGATACTGCAAACTTCGCATTCTGACACGCCACACTGTTGTGTTGGTTAACTGTTAACAAACTGTTTTTAACTCTGTTTGAACGCTCTTTTGTAGTCCAGTTGTAGTACATTATGTCCCTGAGATGACTGAGTCAGATCCACTGGGTTTTAGAAAGAATCTCAAGCAAAAGTAAGTTGCGAAGATATGTGCATGAAGATTAGTAGAGCCTGTACTAATAAAATAATAAATGGTTATATATACTAAATACTGGTCCTGAAAACTGATTCTGGTTGGTATTTTTTAACTTGTTACTGTGGTACAAACTAACCGACCAAAATAAACGCTCTGACAATTGAATATTCAGCGATTTAAAATGTCTCATTTTAGTAACTGATTACGTAGATCGATCAAGTTACTCGTTCAATCGCATATTTAAGATGTTGTCATGCACGAGATCTCTTGTATTACAGTGTATTACAGTCATGTGCTCGTCCTGTTATCGTTGATGCTGCGTTTAGGTGCAGCTATTTTTGTTTTCATCGCCCAAAGCGTCCCTCTTTTTATGATTAATCCCCGATTACAGGCATCGACGAATCTTAGAATATTTATATGTGAGAGCCGGGATGTATAGAACTGAGTCAAAATTGATTGATCCCTAGACTACATGAAATCTTCCTTGATAGACTGTTGTGAGCAGGCCTCTTGCCGTCTTAGTGTTGAAATAACCAGTGCAGTTAAGGAAAGTAAATGTTTAAGTAAATGTTTAAGGAAGGAATAATGCCTCAGCACTTAATTTGATACAGAGATGATAATTGTTTAAAATTGTTTAAGTAGCGACTGCTCCCAGTCCTGCTACTATAAAGGGGGGGGGGGGGGGTGTCACGTCCGTCTATGTCCGCTTGTCTCATAGAATCCAAAAAGGACAGGACATAGGCGGACATAGGCGGACATAGGCGGACATAGGCGGACATAGACGGACATAGGTGGACATAGGCGGACATAGACGGACATAGGCGGACATTAATGGACACCTAAATTGCTAAATAAAATGTTCAATTTTTGCTGTTATAGGGGGATCATGTTTTTTGTCCGTTCGGTACCCTATATTTTCAAAACGGACAAAAAATATAGCGGACAAAAACGGACAAAAATGGACAAAAACGGACAAAAATGGAAATAACATTTCTAGATGCTTCCTCCTCCTACTCTTCCTCCTCCTCCCCCTGGGTCTGTCGCTGTCGGACAGATGTCGCTGTCGGACAAGAGTCGTGTTACCGGTCTTCCTGATCTTCCTCAGTCCTCTTCCTCCTCCCCTCCTCAGTCCTCCTCCTACTCCTCCTCCTCGTCCTCAGTCCTCCTCATCAGTCCTCAACAGTCCTTCTCCTCCCCAGTCCTCCTCCTCCTCCTGAGTCCTCCTCCTGGGTCCTCCTCCTGGGTCCTCCTCCTCCTCTTCATCCTCCTCATCTTCCTCCTCAGTCCTCAGTCCTCCTCCTCATCCTTCTCCTCAGTCCTCCATCCTCCTCCTCAGTCCTCCCCCAGTCCCCCTCCTCCTCCTCCTATTCAGTCCTCCTCCTCCTCCTCCTCCTCCTTCTCAGTCCTCCTCCTCCTCCTCTTCCCTCTCAGTCATCCTCCTCAGCCATCCTCCTCAGTCCTCCTCAGTCCTCCTCCTCAGTCCTCCTCCTCCTGGGTCCTCCTCCTCCTCTTCATCCTCCTCCTCTTCCTCCTCGGTCCTCAGTCCTCCTCCTCCTGGGTCCTCCTCCTCATCCTTCTCATCAGTCCTCCTCCTCCCCAGTCCTCTCCCAGTCCCCCTCCTTCTCCTCCTCCTATTCAGTCCTCCTCCTCCTCCTCCTCCTCAGTTCTCCTCAGTCCTCCTTCTCATTTCTCCTAAGTCCTCCTCCTGAGTCCTCCTCCTAAGTCCTCCTCCTGAGTCCTCCTCCTGAGTCCTCCTCCTCTTCCTTCTGAGTCCTCCTCCTGAGTCCTCCTCCTCCTCCCTCTCAGTCATCCTCCTCAGTCATCCTCCTCAGCCATCCTCCCCAGCCATCCTCCTCAGCCATCCTCCTCAGTACTCCTCAGTCATCCTCCTTCTCAGTCATCGTCAGTCCTCCTCCTCAGTCCTCCTCCTCTTTCTGGGTCCTCCTCCTCCTCCTCCTCCTGGGTCCTCCTGGGTCTTCCTGATCCTCCTCAGTCCTCTTCCTCCTCCCCTCCTCAGTCCTCCTCCTACTCCTCCTCCTCGTCGGACAAAAATGGAAATAACATTTCTAGATGCTTCCTCCTCCTACTCTTCCTCCTCCTCCCCCTGGGTCTTCCTGATCTTCCTCAGTCCTCTTCTTCCACCCCTCCTCAGTCCTCCTCCTACTCCTCCTCCTCGTCCTCAGTCCTCCTCATCAGTCCTCAACAGTCCTTCTCCTCCCCAGTCCTCCTCCTCCTCCTGAGTCCTCCTCCTGGGTCCTCCTCCTGGGTCCTCCTCCTCCTCTTCATCCTCCTCCTCTTCCTCCTCAGTCTTCAGTCCTCCTCCTCATCCTTCTCCTCAGTCCTCCATCCTCCTCCTCAGTCCTCCCCCAGTCCCCCTCCTCCTCCTATTCAGTCCTCCTCCTCCTCCTCCTCCTTCTCAGTCCTCCTCAGTCCTCCTCCTCCTCCTCTTCCCTCTCAGTCATCCTCCTCAGCCATCCTCCTCAGTCCTCCTCAGTCCTCCTCCTCCTGGGTCCTCCTCCTCCTCTTCATCCTCCTCCTCTTCATCCTCCTCCTCTTCATCCTCGGTCCTCAGTCCTCCTCCTCCTGGGTCCTCCTCCTCATCCTTCTCATCAGTCCTCATCCTCCCCAGTCCTCTCCCAGTCCCCCTCCTTCTCCTCCTATTCAGTCCTCCTCCTCCTCCTCCTCCTCAGTTCTCCTCAGTCCTCCTTCTCATTTCTCCTAAGTCCTCCTCCTGAGTCCTCCTCCTAAGTCCTCCTCCTGAGTCCTCCTCCTGAGTCCTCCTCCTCTTCCTTCTGAGTCCTCCTCCTGAGTCCTCCTCCTCCTCCCTCTCAGTCATCCTCCTCAGTCATCCTCCTCAGCCATCCTCCCCAGCCATCCTCCTCAGCCATCCTCCTCAGTACTCCTCAGTCATCCTCCTTCTCAGTCATCGTCAGTCCTCCTCCTCAGTCCTCCTCCTCTTTCTGGGTCCTCCTCCTCCTCCTCCTCCTGGGTCCTCCTGGGTCTTCCTGATCCTCCTCAGTCCTCTTCCTCCTCCCCTCCTCAGTCCTCCTCCTACTCCTCCTCCTCGTCCTCAGTCCTCCTCATCAGTCCTCAACAGTTTTCCTCCTCCCCAGTCCTCCTCCTCCTCCTGGGGCCTTTTCCTGGGTCCTCCTCCTGGGTCCTCCTCCTGGGTCCTCCTCCTCCTGGGTCCTCCTTCTCCCTCTCAGTCCTTCTCCTCCTCCTCAGTCGTCTTCCTCCTCCTCCTCCCTCTCAGTCATCCTCCTCAGCCATCCTCCTCAGCCATCCTCCTCAGTCCTTCTCCTTCTCAGTCCTCCTCAGTCCTCCTCCTGAGTCCTCCTCCTCCTGAGTCCTCCTCCTGAGTCCTCCTCCTCCTCAGTCATCCTCCTCAGTTCTCCTCCTCCTCCTCCTAGGTCCTCTTTCTGGGTCCTCCTCCTCCTGGGTCTTCCTGATCCTTCTCCTCCCTCTCAGTCATCCTCCTCAGTCATCCTCCTCAGTCATCCTCCTCAGTCATCCTCCTCAGCCATCCTCCTCAGCCATCCTTCTCAGCCATACTCCTCAGTACTCTTCAGTACTCTTCAGTCCTCAAAATGTTTGTCCGCTAATGTCCACCAATGTCCGCTAATGTCCACCAATGTCCGTCCGAGTCCGCCAATGTCCGTCCGAGTCCGCCAATGTCCGTCCGTGTCCGCCAATGTCCCAAAAAACACGTCCGTTGTCTCATAGAATCCAAAAAGGACAGGACATAGGCGGACATAGACGGACATGACACCCCCCCCCTATAAAACTTAGTGCGTGTGGTGCTGTTTAATTGCTTCCGAGCAATATAAACTACCGACACTTTGTACAGACGTCAAGTGCTCTAAACTCACACTCATTTGCTCAGTAGTGGCTCTAGAAGTTTTTGTTGTATTTCTGTTTTGGACAGTAATATTCCTGTGACGTCATGTGTCACGTATGACGTCATGTGTGACGTCATGTGTCACGTGATTGATACGTCACGTGATTAATTGTGACGTCATTTGTCACGTGATTGATGGATTGCACATTGTACAATGACTCGTGATCACTGATAAGCACCTAATATGGATATGTGGTTATTGATAAGGAAACCTGTGTCATGATTCATGAATGATAACGAGACAGTATATTATACAATAATGCAATACATTTATAATATAACATATGTATTATTAGGAGTATTATTGGCAGACATGACAACAGTTGACCAATATACATTGCACTATAGCCTGCCAAATCAGTAATACAATTATAATTTATATCATGTACAATAGTATTTATACAACTATCACAATAGAAGTTTTAACAATGAGACTACCAACTAGTAGTAGTGAACTACTTCCTTCTTTGAGCCGCGAATATTAGATGTAATCAGTAATTCCATAATCTTTAAATATTATCTTCATTGTTCGATCATTTTCTTTCACGAGACCCGGCCTGGTGTTCTATTTCACTTTTCAGTAAAGCACTTTTCACTTCCGTTCTATCTGCGGTGTGTTGAACTCCCTTTCATTAACTTTAAGTTAATTGTACAGGGTGGGCCTTAATAGCTCAGTCACTGAGTGCCCAATTGAAATAATTCTTTCTGGTATGACTTACTATCACTACTGGTTCAGCTGTATTAGTGTAAGTTAAGCTGAACTGTAGAAGTATTTTACCGCGTCAATGAACCTAGAAGTGATGACTGGTGTATTAAACTGCTGCCAGCTGTTGTAAACCGTTTGCAACGCTGTTAGAAGTAGCTACACTTCAAGTAGGTTACTTGGTGGGCGGTATTATTAGAGCTACTAGAATTGATATTTCGGTAGACCCATCCCATTCTCTGGAATGAATTCTACACTCGTCTCATTTCTGCGGGATAAAAGTGTACTCCTGGTTTTCTCACCTCATTACTTTTGATTTTGACTCGGATCCTATGCGTTTACTGAAGATAATGTCTTTATTCATTAGGACAAATTGTTTAAATAACCAGTGAGTAATCGTTTTCTTCCGTCGCTTTCTTCCCGTATCTGCAGGTATCAACTATTAAACCATTTGTAAACGCATATTACGTTTGTTGGTGCATTTCTAAGTTGATTTGTTGATTACTTTCAAATTCTAACATTGATCATATTATTTGCCTTTACAAATTACAATTGAATAGCAGATTCAATCTCGTAGCCCTGTCATATACTACTGCAGTCGGAGATGGAATCAGTGACAAACACTGCACCTATAGACCGACGGTAACGTTACTAACATAGTTAACATAATTAACATAGTTAACATAATTAACATAGTTAAACATGACTAACTTGGTAGATTGTTAACATGATTAATATGTACAATTCCGGAAATGTTAACACTAAATACTTCTGATTAGGTTCTGTTTGCTGTTTATGATGGCTGGAAATATATGTTGAATAATTGTTGACGTTGCACGTTTGAATTAGAGGAGAACGCGCTGCTATGTTTGTCTCGATATGTGTATAATTATAGCTGTACAAATATAAGTCATAGTATGTGATTTGTTAATTCTTAAATTGGTCTATTTTTCTGACCGTGAGATTGCGAGATTGCGAAGTGCTTGTCGAATTTGAGTCGCTGAGTGTTAATTTATTATGAATTTATTGAGCATATCGAGGAAACATTTAGAAAATTCCCCACCCCTCCGGAATTGTGGTAAACAGTTTCTTAGGCCAGAAGTGAATATTTGTTTCTTTAATAAAAAATTATCACTTCTCTGTTTCAAACAGAGTGTTCTCGTGCCTTGTTCTAACGCCTACAATCTAAATTGTGGAGAGTTCTCGAAGCTTCTTAAAATTTCATTAATCAGATAGCCGCAGATTTTACATCAACCATTAGCTTACGGACAGTTGATAACTCATTTGTTGAGAATAAATCATATTCCGGACGGGCACCACACACTTCTAGTAGATCGTCAAATGCGAACAGATACAAACAAATAAGTGTCGGTATAGACTATAGAATGTATAGATCCATCTGGATCTAGAATAAGCTTACTACTCTGAGAAGGATCTAGACAATATTTATTTTCAATTTTATGCATGACATGCAACTATAAATACTGACCTACTTATAGCCATTCATTGATATACAAGATTAGTAGCTAAATCGAATGTTGACTACTAAGCGTTGTTTCCTTGAGGCTTTATCTTAAAATTGAAACTAAAAACTTTGAAATTAATTTGTTGTCTTAACTTTCTGACAAGAAATTAAAAACGATCACCAGATGAAATCTGATCTACGAACCTTATTATATGTCACATTAGAACATTTCTTTGACCTACAAAATGAGACCACGCTCATTTCCATCAGAAAGAAAAATTCTTATTCAAGGTAAGTCCAGTTTACATAAGGCTCATTCCACTGATTTCCCAGCTAGCACAGACCACTAGAACCCCCCTCCTCTGATCACATGACCAATGACCATGATGGTGATGGCGGAGCTTCTCCCTTCACCGTGTCCGTCCCTCCGCGAGACTACGAGGTAGAAGAGGATCCTGTCGGGAGGTCGTGTTCACTGACTGGTGATTATTGGGTGCAAGAGGAACCACCTGCCTTTAGGTGATCACCAGCAGCTACCTGTGTGTCATGTTTGTGTGATTTTACTAAAGCTACAATGTGTGCTGAACAGCTATAATGTGTGGTTATATACTCACTATAATGTGTGACCAAGCTTAAGCTACGTGTGATAAAGCTGTGTTATTCCGCTGTTTGTGTTCAGACTTCAATGTGTGACAAAGTTGTAGCTGTATGTGACAGTAAATCGCTGAGCGTGTGATTTCAAGAAATGAACGATTGAGTGAAAGAAGAGTGTTTTCACATAGGTTTGTTCTCCTCACAAGCACCATAGAACAATCTTGTCTTAAATGACTGTCTTCGTAGTAAAGAGTGATTTTCCGCGCCAGCATTTTTAGCAGTGAAGCCAATATAACTATAAGCATGAACTTTCAGATGACATTTTAAAATTCTCGATCCAGTGAATGCGAACTTCGTTAGATTCACGAACATGAAAATAAATACTTTTTTATCGCAAATTGGTTGATTTTGTATGTTATACACTAAGATTGAAATGGTCAATAATGATTGTAATGATGTTCATAACTCATCTCAACATTAATTAGAAATGATGGGTTAGATTCGGTAATTACTAATTAGTGATTACTGATATCTTATGATCGAATGACTCTTCGAAAGAGCGTAATACAATTATTTAATAAATAATATAACTTTTTCTTGTGGTTGTTTATATCTCCGTGTTGATCGTACGAATTCTGCAAAACATTGATTTAGAAATTCTCAGTCTCAAAATTTAAATTCAAGCATGTGATAAATTATATTTTAATTCTGTATATTTGAAGAGTTAACATAATATAAGCTTTAACTGATCCTCTTTTTAGTTTTATAATGTGCTATAATCTTCTCAGCACTAGTTTCAAATTCTTGTTATCAAACAAGATTTGAACTCTTGATTCCGTGTAACTAATCTGTAAAAGATAACACCTCATCTCTTAACCTACCCTTCCTTTCCCAGGGTTGAAAGTTTGGCACAAGTGCGAGAAAAAGTGCAAAAGAAAACCTTCACTAGGTGGGCTAACATGAGTCTCAGCAAAAAGGATCAAATAAGAGATTTGTTTGAAGATTTGAAGTCTGGTACAACCCTGATAAAACTGATCAATATCCTGTCCGAATCTAGTCTTCGTCCTGAGCGAGGTTTGTTCACCGGTTGAGACAATGTAAAATATAAATACCACCGGGATTTGAATTGTAACTCTTTAAGTTCTTTACTTTAATTCGCCCTATGATTTTTCTCCAGCTTGTTTCCAAAAAATAAAAACGTTTTGGTTCCATCCTATGACTTATTCCTATGATCAATTCGCCTAAAGAGTAAACAGATAATCGTGATATTATATAATGGTCAATGTTGACTAGCCTGGCCACAATTATAGTAAAATAAAACCAATTATTAATTAACTATTATCTCCCGACAGGTAGAATGGAGATTCATAACAGATCAAACATTGGTCGAGCTCTGGAGGCACTCTCAAAAGTTGATGTAAGTTTAGAAAATTAGTTCTAGTGCAAAAAAAATGAGCAGTACATAGGTACGTTTCGCCATTGGCACTGCCATGACAATCTTATATTTTAAACTCTCCTTTAATATCCTATTTTAAGCGTGATATTCTTCAGAAGCTGATCTCCTCATTTTATCAAATGTCCCTTTCTTCTCATCGCCTTATTGATATCAAATATCAAATTTCGTGCCAATCTAGAATATACGTGCCTTATTGGTTGTGTGCTATAATCGCACAATATTATTTGCCATTGTATTCCCATAATTTGCACTGACGATCGATTTTCATTAAAAATTTCTATTTCCATTGAACCGTTTAGTAAGCACACACATGCGTTTTAGGTTAAAAGCCTCCGCAATGCAAGGAAATTGTAATTATCCCATTATTGATAGGAACCATTAAGCTTTATCCAGGTCGGCTGCTCTCTGTAACCAATTGATCTTTTGTTTTAGTACGATCCTTACTAATTGCTGGCACTAAGTACTGATTGGTATACGGTAGTGCCTACTGGACTGTTTGTAAACTTAGTAGATAGTTTACATTCTGTAGATAACATTGTATTGCCGTGTAGTTGCCGTGTAGTACAGTAAATCGCATCTTAGTTTATACAGAGATATGGTTTCTGTAGAAGATATTAAGTTCTAAGAGCAAGTAAGATTCTGTACAATATAACAAAATCAGCTCTCTAGGATACTAGCTGTATTCTCTTGTTTTGTACTCGTATTCTGCTCAGGATCATGATTTGTATGGTATAGTAAGCTAGTTTAAAAAAGTTTGTCTAGTTACACGATGTGTCTTTCTCGGTTTAAAGAATGTGAAGCTAAAAGAATGTGAAGCTAGAGACTTTACCCTCCCTATAACTTTGTAATTGGTTAATTTGTTGATTATTTGTGGGGCTACGTTTCCTACCTAATTACTGTATGTACCTGCTTACAGCTTGTACAGCTTGTATAGCTTGTACAGTATGAAGTGTGAAGTGTGTACATGCTCTGATTGTAGTGCTTCCCTTTCTTTGTCACTAGTTTGTTACTGTTTTAATAAGAACGTTGAGAAGCTGTTTTGTGCTGCTAGAGTATTTCTCCTCTGGGGTGTGGCTAGTACAAATTTACAAGAATACATTGTAATTACGTAAGCTTTACTCTTATCAAAGTAAACGAATTGCACTAACTTTCAAAGAATACATTCTAATTACATATGCTTAGCGTGTACTGCTCGAAAATACCCACAATTACGAAGTTATTAATGCCGAAATGAGCCTAACCGTCCACTAACCACTTACAAACAGTGTTGATTACAATCTACATCGCTAGTTAAGGAATGCGAGAGAATGCACTAGAGAGTGCTAGAAGATTCTCTCGTTCTTACGCTTACGACAGGTTACGTCAGCGGGTTTATACTACTGCTAACTATGGCTAAATATGTGCATTTGACAAGGTGTTCGCACCGAAACTCTGTTAACTTTCCATGTGTATTTGTTGTATAGTTTTAACAAATTTATACCTAGTGCAGTGTAGACTACCCGTCGCTATAATTGAAATAAACGGTATTGAAATCGAACAGAGGGCACGTTATCAGTGATTAATACTTCATTTGACGGCATCAATAGTTGTGGATTTGATATTCAGTGCTCGACTGTAGTAGTAGCGACGCGTTTGTCGGTGATTGACGTCGTATCAGACATATTTAAAACCCTTTTGTCCAAGTTTGTTTTATGCTTTATGCATTGCACGTTCAGTTCATTGTATTTTGTTAGTGAAATGCTTCGATTTTACACACTGCATTAATATACCTGATAGTACCTCTTTATGTAAAATGTACTTGACGTAGGACCTGTTCAAATGGTGTGTGGATTGTACATACATCCAATTGTTTTCTCCTTTTCTCTTCACTTATATCGTAGTATTAATTTCTTGCCTTCGGTTGATAAGTTCTGTGCTGTGTTTAGCAATCGGTCTGTCACATTTCAGGAAAACTATGTAGAGTGCAATGCCTCCCTATCTCGGGGACTAGCGCTTACTTTTTATTTGCAGACTTCTACTCCCACTCTCACTTTCTGTCGCCTTCTCATACATAAAATTGTCTACTGTAGATTTAAGATAGAGTTTATAGTTCAACTCTTCTTTCAATCAATAATTAATAAACTAATCAATTAACCAATTAATTAATTAACCACCTCACTCAGCCTCAACACGGCATCTCCATCTCTGCTATATACGAGGGTATCCCCAAGCTAACACTTGCTCTCTGCTGGCATCTCATCCTCCGATACTCTCACTTACAAGAACGAGATATGATGGGCGTATCTGCTGAGGTCCACTGCAAGTCAGTTTGTTGGATGTTTTTTTATTGTTCATAAACTATTTTTTACTTATCATTTATTTTATATCTATATTTTTTATTATTTACTTTCCATTGAATATGGATTAAAATGATTATATCATTTAATTGGATAATTGTCCCACAGGAACTGGTGCGGAGAGAACGCTGCAGGTTACGTAGGTCTAGAGAACATTGAGAAGGACTTCCTGGGAACCTGGATAACTGGCCTTGTTCTCCCCGCTATTATCAGCAGGTCAGCCACTTCACTGGTGATATTAGTTTGTCTCAAGTAGGAGGATTCGAGTGGTCCTTGAAAGGTTGACGGTTGAAATTTCTGTAATAAGAGTCATAGTACGACGATCAAGTTCCCAGCCTTTATTTATTATGGTCCGGATCCTTCATCCGTGCTTCCCCTCCCCATTCTAATTTAAACACACCGATTATTCCCTCCGCAGAAATAAACCTGAACTGATTGATTACGCGGATATATACCACAACAAGACCCCTGAACAGAGGTTCGCCATAGCTTTTGGGCTTGTGGAGAAGAACTACTCAGTTCCTAAACTGCTGGATGTGGAGGGTTCGTTTATGTTTATTACATACAATTTAACTACTCTTCTTTATTACAGGCTTACAAATTTAATACTCTTCTTTATTACAGGCTTACAAATTTAATACTCTTCGTTACACTGACATTCAATGTTTTAATCCGGCTGTGGCACTACTACTTCCGTCCCGTATATATAACATAATTACATAATATAATTACATAACATAATTACATGATATTATAATTTATACATTTTCGGAGTTATTTTATTGTATGTATATAGTATGTATTAAGATTATTGAGAATTAATTCCTGCGATTGATTATAAAATACCGCTACACAGTAACATATTAGTCTAATTAATTATTTTTTGCTTAATTGAACATGAATAGGTACCCGGAATATTTGATAATTTACCAGTCCATTCTATGAAAAGTTATGTATAAAACCTTGATCAAAATCTTGTAATATACTATAACTTTATGTCATTTTCGTCTGATTGTTCATAGCTGTCACTCAGTGCGAGTACACTTTACATTAAATATCATCTCAGACATTTGTGAGTCAGAAAGTTTAACGAGTATATTTAGTATGGGTTAGTGTGAGTTGTTACGAGTTTCCTTACAAACTTCTGCTTCTCTGATTGTTCGCTTCTCACTTTATAAACTTTTGAAGTTTCCCACGAGTACCTTGTCCTTCGACCCTGTTGAACTACATCACTAACATCTGAATACTAAATTCATACTGGAATTCGGGTTGAAGTACCGTCTCCATCCCCTCTCTTCTTGCAACTTTGTAACTAGGACCTATGTTTGATGCGTTTATCTGGTTTTATTCAAACTCATCTATCGATGAATCCGATTTTGATTTGAATTCATATTATAAGTGAGTTATATATCTCACAGAGATATAGTTAGTAAGTAAACCATTTGACGGAGATTTACTCCGTTACACACGTTAGTCGTTAGATACACTATATAGTAAAGAATTCAATTGCTCTACCTACAGTGACCATTTAGTCTAAGTCATTAAATGTCACACAATTTGATAGTAAACCAATTTTGTAATTTGAGGCTTCTGTCCTCTTGCAATTCTAAGTCTAGTGCTTTATTTCTGCGTCTAAATAATTGCCTCCCCACTTTAATTCCATGATATTAACGCTATAGAGAACACAGGTTGATATCGGGAAATATAATCCATGAAACCTATAATAATGAATTCTACTTCTCCCCGACAGATATGAACAAGCAGCATATAGACGACCAAAGTGTGGTGACCTATCTGATGCTGCTGAACAAGGTCCTGTCGGATAACGTGCCAGACATTCCACCGGCTATCGTGAAACTAAAACAACAACTCACCCATGGTACATATTTTACATATTCGGCATATTTTACATATATCTAAAGAGCTGTTGATTTCTAGTAACACCTTGGGTTTAACTCGAACCAGGTCGTCTATACGTGGGCGTCAAACTGTCAAAAGGATTACGCTGATACAAGCCGACAATCAACATTATGATTGTTCATGGTAGTGTTTGATAGTTTGACTCACGTTTTCCTTTGAACAGAATACCAGCTATTGGAGGAAGATCTAGATGATGAAAGTTCGACCGAAGAGGAGGAGGAAGATTTAATGGTGGAAGAAACAGATCTCACCCCAGTTGAAGACTCAGATCTCCCCCAAATAATGGCTGCGGTAATTATGAGACATTTCTTATCAGATTACTTAGTTTTATCGACGTTCGAAAGGTCGACAAAACAGTGTCTGACTAAACAGTTCTTCACATGATTCTGACCGATGTCCATGCCAGTCGAATATTTTGATAACAAAAATGCGCCCACTTTTATTTTTGTGTAATTTCCCACCCCTGCCAACGTTGTCCTGAAAATAGCATTAATTTCAGCGAGAGCAGAGTCTCTCGACCACACCAGAGTACAATTCTCGTGAGGAGGACAAGGATTCCGGGCTGGAACTGGAGGACTACTCTCCCGTCAACAACTCAGAAAAAGTTAGCTACTCATTTTTGCTTGATAGTATAATCATGAACAGTCAAACAATAATATTCTTCTTGAAAATTACCAAGTGCTATGATTTTGTTGTCACTAAAAACCCCCACATTTACAGCCGATCCCCCGTGCCGAGCAGGCAGTAAGAGACCAGGACGCAGTGTCTCAACGAGACAGCAGCATAACCCTGGACAGTGAGGCTGAGTACTTGTCTGCTGCTAGTTCACCAGTTCTAGGGTCTAGACGCTTCAATGGGGACACGGATAACTCTGAAACAACGAGCCCCACCTCCGAAGAGATGATACCAGACACCATGGAGACAGCTGAGACGATGAGACTGCCTATTGCTGAGCTGGAAGCAACTCTCAATTATATAACCAACATACCAGGTCAGTTCATTAATTGAATCAGAGTATTAACTAACTAAATGCTATGATTCAAGTTTTGAGAATCGGGAAGGAAATGCATAACTTATTCAGTTCACTTGGTCTCGTATAACGCCCATTTTACCACGATGACTACTCTAAACCTTGACTCTTTTCCAGAGAATATACCAGTAACAGTTTCTAATCTGGAGGAGTTGAAATTGTTGCTAAAAGAGAGGGGCGAGGAGTGCGCGGCTCTACAGACTCAAATTAATCATCAGGTTGGTTTTTTTTGTCCGCCGTCCTGTAAGCTAACCTTAGAACGTTTGCTTAAAAGTATTACACGAGGGAATGTTTTTTATTATATCTCCTCTCTGGGGCCATGTCGTTTCGTGTGACGTCATCAGTTGAGTTGGTGACATCACAGAGAACTTAAGGAGGGTCTCTATACAACAACAAGGAAGTGATAAAAGGGAACTTCGATTGTTCTTACTGTTTCGTGCGTTAGATTATTGTCGCTCTCTAAGTCTCTATAATCCTAAGAGATGGCTGGTGTTTCACCGTAGATCCATTGGTAAATCTCTCAATTTGTGGCATGTTGATTGTTGGCGTATGAACATTTAGTATAGAGACGAAACACTTAAAGCCTATAAACAGATTTAACCGATTTTTGTATAGCAACATGAGTGGCTTATAACCTATTATATATCTTTTGAGGGGTATTTGATCAATGCTTTCTCTCAATCTCTCTGGTAACAATAGATTTTGATACTGGTAGGGTAAGGCACGTAATTTTGTCAGGGTACCTAATTTTGTCATTTTGCTCTGAAAAACTGCCTCGGCTCGGAATTTCAGCTTGAAAGAAAAGGTTTGTGTATAAAAAGAAAGCTTAGACTTTGCTGAAACTGCTCCTACAAAGTTTAAGTTTTTAGCTCTTTTGCATCTGTGTCAAAAATGAAGGCGAAACTGTTAACCCGAAAAATAAATAAGATCCTTAAGGTTTTCTTAAGGAATTTTCAAAATTTTGATTTATTGCTATTTCAAAAGTAATTGAGCTAGCTTCATGCCATTGCATATTTCAAATATCTTCTACAGCAGAAGTATACGTACAAATTTTCAAGTCTCTAGCGCAATTATTGTTTAAGTTACAGAGGGTGACAAAATTAGGTTCGATTTTGCCAAAAGTACCTAATTTTGTCAAAAAAATCGACCTTTCTAAAATTTCTTGTAAATCACAGATTGTGTTGAAAATGGCCTTATACAACTATTCTGAAGTTTTTTTGCCCATAGGATATGTATAAGGCACTTATAATAGCATAACACTTATAATAGCATATTTTCGCCGAGGTGGATAATCTGATTTTTTCAATCTAAAATGACTAAAAAAATAATTGATGAAATTACTAAGCAAGTGATCTATCTACAGACATGAAAATTTCAACCTAGACCTAGAACCAATTGTTTTTCAAGATACCAGTGGTTTCAGGGGCATTTGGGGGCTATTTTCTAAGATTATATACCCAAAAAGTGTCATCTTTTCATCAAGCTACAAAACTATGAAAACATCATATCTTTGGGATTTTTGAGGTCAATGTTGGTAAAAAAGCGCTCGAATGATGCATCCAGGTAGTCTAAAATACCGAGAAACGGTTACTTTTTGCACAATCTTCAAGTGACAAAATTAGGTTCGGGGTGACAAAATTAAGTAAAGTCACCTAATTTTGTCATTTTTTCAAAATAATTTTTTTGAACATCTTCAACCCCAGCAATTTCGATCATTTTTGTGATAGAACTTGCCTAGACTGTCTACTATAACATATTAGAGGTTTCATCTAAATCAGAATTTCAGACGAGGTTAAAACCCATGGTTTATATCAGGCAGTCGGAAAATTGCCAAAAAATGACAAAATTATGTGCTTTACCCTATAGCAGTAAACCATTTTCCTGCCTGACACGTAGGATACCGAATTCAAACAACCGAGTTTTTTGTGGATTTTAGTAACTGACGAGATGCCGATTTCATCTCGTTCTCCATTTATGTAAAGATTTTATATTGAAAGCCATGTCACACACAAAGCTACAACCGTAGCCGCACGAAACTAATAACAAGATCTGATAAAAAGTAAAGGAAAATATTTAGTTAGAATAATCCAGATAGTAAGTAATGGGAAGTAATGAAATAAAACCCCCTGGACTTATACGGGATAATAACGCCTGGCCCTGGCCTCAACCGCTACGAGACAAGTACATCCAACAGCAGCGTCATTCATTTTACTGACTTTTATCGGAACCAAACTTTGAAGAACTCTCCATTTTAGAAGAGAAAACCGGCAAAACTTTGCCATCAACCCTTGTGTGGGTGCTGTGAGAAGCTATACGATAGGTGTGAGAGATCATTTGCCGCATGTCTGTTGGTTTATTAATGAACCCGTTACACTTAACACTCCGCTACGAACAAGTTATCTAGCCTACTAGTAGCTTAGTAGAACAAGCCAACGCTTTAATTAATTGCATATATTTGATATACGCACTATGGTTTGTCGTCGAAAGAGATTTGGCCTCGACTTTTCGACACCCCTGTGCCATAGTAATAGTCATTTCCTGCTTACAATTCCTTTGGCATGTGTTCTTACTCGTTAACGGCCGTATCGACTAGTGTTATTCGTAGCTTTTTTACATAAAAGCGTTGACATAAAAGTGTTGTTTTAAATCTGTTACTGAATCTTTTAAAACCGTTTTTGTTCGAGGGTATATTTTGATGGAGGCCACTGGTCCCGAACTGGACCCCGGAATCAGGGACATCCTCATTAGTTATACTTCTCAGGTAGAGAATGTTCTTTCTAGTCGAACTAATTCAGTAAGAAAGTTCATACTTAGTGAAGAGAATGTTCTGATATATGGATCAGAAACAACCAGGATTTAGACCCATTAAAATTGGTCAACAAACTACCTACTTCTTACCTTGGTATAACTCAAGAGAAGTATTTCTTAAAACTATCTCAGACCCTACCCAATAATCAATATTATAATTAAAAGTAAAATCTCACAGATCTGTATATTTCAGTTGAACTGGAAGCAAGAGTGGGACAAGAGAGCGGATCTCCACAAGCTCCTCTCCCAGACCGGTCGGTTTGATGACGCTCTCAGAGGGGCTGCCTCAGAGCTGGATAACTTTGTCAATATGCTGGACGAGTTTGAGAAGGCGGTCGCACGGTCCCAGGAGTTCGCTGATAGCGCCGAGGAGGTAGACAATGAAAGTTGTTTTGTTTTTCCTCGACACCGGAAAATCTGTGTGTTCGTATGTGTATTTCACGAAAGCGATTAAACTTTCCTTTCATTTTGCCTAGGCAAAAATATCGGTAGGGAATAAGTAGTCGGGTTCTGGTATACTAGCTAAAAATACTGATGTAGATTTGTCTGAAATGTGATTTAAATTTGTCACTTTTTTCTCATTCTTTTCTTTCTTATCGAGGAACACAGTCATCTAACATCCGTGATATTGAAAGGGATACAAATTATAATTTTGCGAGACCGCAAAGAAAACGGAGCGTCCTTAGTAATAACCATGGCGGAATTCTAAATTCTTGTTGGCATTAAAATACAGCTCCTTATTCTAAATTGATTTCAGTACTTAGCAGAAGAAGATATCCCGAGTACAGCTACAGAGACCAACAACACATTAACAGAACAAAAGGATCTGCTGAACACTTTAGAAGAGGAACAGAGAAATCTAGAGTACTCTTATCGCTCACTCAGTCGCGCTATACCCAAGGTATGATTCTACGGATATTGTTAAAAATTAAGCTCTCCTCAATTTCCGATGATTCAGTTTCAATATTGATATTACCAATTCTTATTACCAATTCTTACTCTCATAATTTCCAATATCCCTAATCTCACTACAAATATGCACCTTGTAATCCTTATCGCATTGTTACAGATAATCCCCTTGTCGATATACGAGCAACAGAGATCGGTTACAGCAGTGCAGAACAGTCTGAGTGATATAGAGGGTGTTATCAGTGGAAGTGTGGAGACACTATCCTTCCTCTCCTCCAGGTTACCAAGATGAAAAATGTTTAAAATGTGTTGTTATCTACGTTATCAAATTCTCCTTGTAGGGTTTGGTGCATTCAGTGTATATTGTGAGTTGGAATGTTACCTAACGAAACTGTTTAGGTTACCCTCGTTGGAATGTTACCTAACGAAACTGTTTAGGTTACCATCGTTGGAATGTTACCTAACGAAAATGTTTAGGTTACCATCGTTGGAATGTTACCTAACGAAACTGTTTAGGTTACCCTCGTTGGAATGTTACCTAACGAAACTGTTTAGGTTACCCTCGTTGGAATGTTACCTAACGAAACTGTTTAGGTTACCCTCGTTGGAATGTTACCTAATGAAACTGTTTAGGTTACCCTCGTTGGAATGTTACCTAACGAAACTGTTTAGGTTACCCTCGTTGGAATGTTACCTAACGAAACTGTTTAGGTTACCCTCGTTGGAATGTTACCTAACGAAACTGTTTAGGTTACCCTCGTTGGAATGTTACCTAACGAAACTGTTTAGGTTACCCTCGTTGGAATGTTACCTAACGAAACTGTTTAGGTTACCCTCGTTGGAATGTTACCTAACGACACTGTTTAGGTTACCCTCGTTGGAATGTTACCTAACGAAACTGTTTAGGTTACCCTCGTTGGAGCAAAAGTTGCAAGATGCTGATGAGATCCTTACAAAAACTGAGGATGAGATTGACAGTATGGACTCTGGGAGCATAAACCCTGAGGATTTGCAGCTCCAGGTAATTTTAGAGGAAACATTGTCCATGAGCCGTGGAGTGTCTTGCAGATCAGTTTACGTTTGGATTATTACCTTACGTGGGAATATTTTGGTAATAATGGTAGGTTTCGTGTTTTTTTTTTCTCCCCACCAATTCTTCAGAGATGTTTTGTAACTTACAGCCTGTTTTCCCAGATGGACCGAGCTAACACCCACCTTGCCACCGTAGACAACCTCTTCACAGCTATAGAGAGTTTCAGCTCTGAGTTCAACTTGCAACCTCTCAAAGTTGAGTGGGAAGAGCTGAACCTGAGGGCTGACAGGTAATTTGTTTGCACAGCAATATTGATAAATTCTTTGTAGTGGTATTCTAGATCTGCATCCTGATAAACAGCGAGTGTGAAGTGGGTAGTTCCCGATTTAAGACTAACATTATTTCAAAGTTATTTCCTAAATCCCCAGATCACGAAACAAGATACTTGAAATGGTTGAAACAGAGGAAGCTGTGTCAGAGGAAGTGGTCGCTGTATCCGACTGGGCTGAAACGTTGGAGACTTTCCTTCAGAGGAGAATGAAAGCTATCGAATCCAGGAAACAACTTAGAGAGGTCACTATCTTGCTAGAAAGCTTGACCTTAAAATTGACTATTTCTATTAAAAAGGTCAGCTTGACTGCATTGAAATTATGAATTTTTGATCAGATTTAAGTTACTGATCTCTATCTTCAGGTGCAAGGTAAATGGAAGGAGGTAGCTGAAGATCTGCGTACGAAATGTGAGGAGATAGAAGTCCTACTACAAAGTGACTACAGTACTCAAGATCACCGAGTCATGTCCCCTCTAGATAAGGACACTCTTATCTCCCTCCGCAATCAGCTTGCTTCACTTCAGACACCACTTCAGAGCAGGAGGGAGCTTCTCCAGGAGGCTTATTCTAACTGGGGAAATGTTGAATCTCAGATGAAATCACTGTCTCTGAATATGTTGAATTTGGAGTTTGCACCCTCTGGAGCGAGGTATGAAATGCCAGGTGGTGAATGGTCGGTGAGGCCTATGTTAGAGTATGTTGATAGGCTAACAGAGAGTGAGAAAGAGTTGGAGGAACAAGCCCAGCAACTTCAGAGTTTAGTTCAGAACATTTCCGATCTTCCCACCGCTATTCTAGACACATCCACCATAGTTAAGGAGCGGGAAAATCTCCTCAATAAACACACAGTTCTGTGCAAACGAGCCAGCAATAAACGTGTCAAATTCCAGAGAACTTGTCTCAAACTGGAACCAGTATTACCGTTCCTCAGACCCGTTTATTTGAACAAAATCAAGTGGTTGTACAAAAAACCATTGCCGGACATAGACTCAAAACGAGATAGTTCCTCCTCTCAGATTGTTGCAGTTCTTAAGAATCCTAAGATGTTGAAAACTGTGCGGTATTCCCAGTATTGGCATGCTGTCAGGACTGTTGCCCCGGAGAAGATCCCGCTGATGTTGCTAACTTGGTTTGCGTACGCTCTGGGACCCTGGGGTATGGGGTGTTCTACTGACAAACCCATGATGATCTCACTTTATACGCCAGATTTAAGGATTTGAACAATTTGGAATATTTTCTCGTAATTTCGGGACCAGAATTGACAATGTTGATTGAAACTGAGGATTGTGAAGAAACAAAGTTTAATCTCTATCGGTACAAGAAAGCTATTTGGTAGCAGACAGCGAGGAATAACAATTAAATGATAGGTTTCCGACTACCCGCGCTACGTTTTAAAAAGTGTTGCCGCTGTAAAACGGACGAAGGATGAACATGTTTCCCTGTTTTAGAATTTAGGTGTAAATTTGTAGGTTAAGCTGTAAGTTTTTTGTTTTTTTTTCAGAATATATTATTGTTTGCAAATATAAATTATGTGTTATATAAGGGTATTAATGCTGATGCTTCAACTAGATATTATTGTTTGAAAATAAAATGTATTAAATTCTTGTATGTGTATTAGTCGGGAATTTTAGTTTGTTAATAGGAAAATGTCAAACACAATTTGTTGATTATCATTAATAATTATTAAATGGTTTATATGTGACAGGCTCCGAATGGATCACTCTCCCTCGCGTGTCACCTGACTTGCGGTAAATTGTGATAAAGAACCCCTTTACTTACCTTTACTTACCCTTTTACTAACCTTTACTTACCCCTTTACTAACTTTTACTTACCCCTTTACTTACCTTTACTTACCCCTTTACTTACCCCTTTACTTACCCTTTTACTAACCTTTACTTACCCCTTTACTTACTCCTTTGCTAACCTTTACTTACCCCTTTACTTACCTTTACTTACCCCTTAACTTACCCCTTTACTTACCCTTTTACTAACCTTTACTTACCCCTTTACTTACCTTTACTTACCCCTTTACTTACCCCTTTACTTACCCTTTTACTAACCTTTACTTACCCCTTTACTTACCTTTACTTACCCCTTTACTTACCCCTTTACTTACCCCTTCACTTACCCCTTTACTTACCTTTACTTAACCCTTTACTTACCTTTACTTAACCCTTTACTTACCTTTACTTACCCCTTTACTTACCCCTTTACTTACCCTTTTACTAACCTTTACTTACCCCTTTACTTACCCCTTTGCTAACCTTTACTTACCCCTTTACTTACCCTTTTACTTACCTTTACTTACCCCTTTACTTACCCCTTTACTTACCTTTACTTACCCCTTTACTCCACTTTACTTAACCCTTTACTTACCCCTTTACTCCACTTTACTTACCCCTTTACTTACCCCTTTACTTACCCCTTTACTTAACCCTTTACTTAACCCTTTACTTACCCCTTTACTCCACTTTACTTACCCCTTTACTTACCCCTTTACTTACCCCTTCACTTACCCCTTTACTTACCCCTTTACTTACCTTTACTTACCCCTTTACTCCACTTTACTTACCCCTTTACTTACCCCTTTACTTACCCCTTTACTTACCCTTTTACTTACCTTTACTTACCCCTTTACTTACCCTTTTACTTACCTTTACTTACCCCTTTACTTACCCCTTTACTTACCTTTACTTACCCCTTAACTCCACTTTACTTAACCCTTTACTTACCCCTTTACTCCACTTTACTTAACCCTTTACTTACCCCTTTACTTACCCCTTTACTTACCCCTTTACTTAACCCTTTACTTACCCCTTTACTCCACTTTACTTACCCCTTTACTTACCCCTTTACTTACCTTTACTTACCCCTTTACTCCACTTTACTTACCTTTACTTACCCCTTTACTCCACTTTACTTACCCCTTTACTTACCCCTTTACTTACCCCTTTACTTACCCTTTTACTTACCTTTACTTACCCCTTTACTTACCCCTTTACTTACCTTTACTTACCCCTTTACTTACCCCTTTACTTAACCCTTTACTTACCCCTTTACTCCACTTTACTTACCCCTTTACTTACCCCTTTACTTACCTTTACTTACCCCTTTACTCCACTTTACTTACCTTTACTTACCCCTTTACTCCACTTTACTTACCCCTTTACTTACCCCTTCACTTACCCCTTTACTTACCCCTTTACTTACCTTTACTTACCCCTTTACTCCACTTTACTTACCCCTTTACTTACCCCTTTACTTACCCCTTTACTTACCCTTTTACTCACCTTTACTTACCCCTTTACTTACCTTTACTTACCCCTTTACTCCACTTTACTTAACCCTTTACTTACCCCTTTACTCCACTTTACTTACCCCTTTACTTACCCCTTTACTTACCCCTTTACTTACCCCTTTACTTAACCCTTTACTTACCCCTTTACTCCACTTTACTTACCCCTTTACTTACCCCTTTACTTACCTTTACTTACCCCTTTACTCCACTTCACTTACCCCTTTACTTACCCCTTTACTTACCCCTTTACTTACCCTTTTACTTACCTTTACTTACCCCTTTACTTACCCCTTTACTTACATTTACTTACCTTTACTTACCCCTTTACTCCACTTTACTTAACCCTTTACTTACCCCTTTACTCCACTTTACTTACCCCTTTACTTACCCCTTTACTTACCCCTTTACTTACCCTTTTACTTACCTTTACTTACCCCTTTACTTACCCCTTTACTTCCCCCTTTACTTACCCCTTTACTTAACCCTTTACTTAACCCTTTACTTACCACTTTACTTACCCCTTTACTTACCCCTTTACTTACCCCTTCACTTACCCCTTTACTAACCCCTTTACTAACCTTTACTTACCCCTTTACTTACCCCTAACCACCATCCTGATAAAATCCCCGGTTGAGTGCTCTGATCCTCCTCAAATAAAGGGGAATACTGTGTAAAAACACAAGTTATAATAACGTGAATTTAGATTAAAATTAGCCTCACCGGGTGAAATTTTCCGAAACATCCGTGATCTATATACTTATATATGTTCGAGGGTAGAGTGGTTCAGAAATTTTCAAATAATCAATACCAAGAGCATTATAAGGGGTCGTTCACTTATTACGTAATCAGTCGAGGGGGTTTCCAAATGATTACGCTAGTGTAATTTTGATACAGTAGCTATGTGTAAAGATAGGGGGGGGGGGGGGGGCCAACCATATTAAAGTATATTAAAGTATATCCCCGGGTCAAAATCGGAAAAAATCCTACATTTTAATATACTTTAATATACCTACAATTAGAAGATTTATATTCTTCGTTAAGATTTACATGATGAACTATATTTTTCACTCAGATTCGCAAGATAAGCCTGTTTTAGGACTAGTACATGAATTTCCATCCAGATTGGTCAAAAATTGGTTGAGCTATGAGCTTTATAAAATATGCCCATATTTGGGCATACGCTTTTGCCCAAATTCGCTTTTGCCCAAATTCGATAAAATTTCAATATTATTTAATGAGACTAACTCTATGTGAAAGATATAACTCAGTGTTTGTTGAATATAGTGGATACTAAGTAAAAAGACCTCCATGAACAAAATTGGGAAAATTGCACATAATATCTCTGTTCGGAATACTAGCCAAAATGACTTCATTAAAATTGTTGATACATGTTCGGCGGCGAAAAGTGGCATGCAACGTATGTCAATAAAATTGAAATAACTCCATCAGTTTTCAATATTTTTTCAAGAACTTTTTGGAATCGATTAAGAATTGCATTTCAAGCTTATTTTGGGTAACAATTTTCGATATAGGCCTCCAAGGATAGGGATATATTAAAGTATATTGTAGGTATATTAAAGTATAACTATATCCCCGGGTCAAAATCGGGAAAAATCCTACATTTTAATATACTTTAATATGGTTGCCCCCCCCCCCCCCCCCCCCCCCAAATAATTACGGAGGGGGGGGGGGTTAAAAATTGGCAAAAAAGTGATTACGTAATATCAATATGTGAATGACCCCTTATATTACGAAGAGATTACATTTTTTGTCTGGTAGCCCCACAGGTATGTTAATTAACACAATTAATTAATATGGTAATTTGACACAGCCTCAAATTCACAGTTCTTATCCAATTGTGACGTGTTTCGGGGGTGGGCCGGGGCCGTATATGTCCGCTTGTCTCATAGAAACCAAAAAAGACAGGACATAGGCGGACATTGATGGACATTAGCAGCCAGCTAAATTTTGCTAAATTTCGTTAAAATTTGCTAATGAGGCAGGGTGATGCTTTTTCAAAAAAGTCATATTTCATGTGGTTCACCCTGTAGATCCTGTTCATTTAATATATAAAGGTATTTTGAGGCACGAAGTGAAATGTAGAGGACTGCATTCATGTTGTACTTGGAAATGGATACAAGATCTAGAGTCCTAGACCTATCGAAAATGCAATGGTACCATTTTTAGAAATAGCTATTATGGGCCTCAAGACAATGTCAATAGTAATACCAGGCACCAGCTGAAATTCAAACGGGCAGAAATTCTTTGATTCTTTAATCCTCATCAAAGTTGTTGTGGTTTAGAATTAAAAAGAACGGGATACGAGGTCAGAATTAACGGGTGTTACGATCGTAAAATGTTTGTTCCAACTCGGGCGCGCGCGTCCTGGTAGGTTATACTTATGAATCTACAAGGTCAGAAGAAATAATTTCCACCACCAGACATCGAATCTCATGGGTATCAATATCAAAACAGACTTTAAACTTTTAGTTTTAAAGAAGTAACTGACTTACTGGTCTCAGGTCTGTGTCTGGGTATTTATTGTAGGTTTATAACCTACCAGGACGCGCGCCGAGTTAAGACTCGTCGACGGTCCTCAGTCCTGGAACAAATATTTTACGAGTATCACTATCACCCGTTAAGGTATTTATAGACATACAGCCCTGGAGCGAATCATTGCTAGTACACGTTGTATACCTCTCTTGTGCACGCGAAGCGAAGCGTGTACCCCTTTCGCGCGCGAGAAGGGGTTGCAGCGTGTGTCAAGCGAATCAGAATGCAGGATTGTTATCACTTGACCATGGACAAGCCAATACGTGCGCTACATCGGTGTCACATGATCTACAAACACACGGAGCGGTTCGCCAGTTTTGTGCTTTACAGGGCTATTGGCAAGCAGCCATTGTCTGGAACATTGATAATCACCGTCTAAAGCTGAGTCACGTGACCTTGATATCAGTCTGCTGGGCCAGAGAAGAGTGACGAATGGACAAGCACAATACTCAAATACTGGTAGAAGAGGGAATAAGTGGCCGCGGCCGACTTTAAGTTTAGGATCAAAATATCAAGAAGCTAGAATGATAACATAATCATGATTCATGATCATTGATTTGTTCAATCAAACACACAAAAAGAAAATTGAGGAATCTGGATATTTGAAAAATGTTTATGTATTCATAATAATCAGGTTAGCATGAAACGTAAACAAAAGCAGTTTCCAGAAACACTTTGAAAATTTGTTCAAGTCACTCTCGATCATAGTTGGTTCGTGCGTCAATTTTTCGGGAAAAGTACGTAAAGTGCGTATGAATTATTTCGTGCGTTAAAAGTGCGTTTAACTTTAAGTACATTTACCGTTGAATTCACCGTTTTAGGTTTTTTCGTAC